AGAGAGAGAGAGAGAATTTTTAATATTTATTTTTTAGTTCTCGGCGGACACAACATCTTTGTTGGTATGTGGTGCTGAGGATCGAACCCGGGCCGCACGCATGCCAGGCGAGCGCGCTACCGCTGAGCCACATCTCCAGCCCTTCTTCATTTGTAAAATGTGGTGCCTACATCGCAGGGTGGATCAAGGGAAGGAAACTAATACTACCCTCCCCTCTTCACCTTCCTCTCCTGCTCGGAGGCTCTGGGTGAGCATGAAGAAGAGGGAGAACAGAGATGCCAGGTGGGCAGAACTCTGGGGCCTTGGCATTGGCCTTGGTGGAGCCGGGCATAGGCCTGCTTAGCTCTAGAGGCGAAAAACTCCCAGTCACAGCTGGTGCAGGCTCCAGATTGCCCAAAGAGCCTTGCTTTTAACCACTAGGTGTCAAGATGATGGACAGTGTGAAGAGAATCACAGGGAAGAGAAAGGAATTCCCCCAGAGAGTGGAGCAAATACCAGAGGATGCTAACATTTCAGAGAATATTGCTCAGGGGCTGTCAAGGACATAAGTTCTAGATACCAGTTTTCAAGGGTATTCATACATGCTCTTTCATTTATTCTTTATCCCAATGTATTATTAATTAATCAATTAATTAATTAATTTTGCAAAATTCTCAAGCAGCAGACAGCCCAAATGACTTGGCTCTTTTCTCCTCCTCCTTTTACTGGTGGTATTTTTTTTTTTTCTGGTATTGGGGATCAAACTCAGGGGCACTTAACTACTGAACCACATCCCCAGCTCTTTTAATATTTTATTTAGAGACAGGGCCTCATTAAGTTGTTTAGAGCCTCACTAAATTGCTGAGGCTGGCTTTGAACTTATGATCCTTCTACCTTAGTCTCCCCATTTGCTGGGATTACAGACATGCACCACCATGCCTGGCTAGGTATTGGGGATTTAACTCAGAGTCACTCTGTCACTGAGCTACAACCCCAACCCTTTTGTTATTTTTCTGTTTTGAGATAGTCTTATTGAGTTGTGAGGCAGGCCAGCTCATTGGCAGCTCTGACTGGAAGGAAAGGGCATAGGCCTGAATTTGCTTGAATTTGCTATCCTCCTGCTGCAGCCTCCTGAGTCATTGCAATTACAGGTATGTACCAGTGTGCCCAGCTTGGCTGTCTTCTCATTGGACAGAATGAGATTCAGGGAATGTATTTAAGGAGTTTACAGGAGGGGAGGCTAACCCAGGGCCTGGGTCATCTTTACAACTGTCCTGCTTGTTGTGTGGAATCCTCCGATACCCACAGTTCTCTACTTAGTACAGTGGAAGGTGCTAGATTTCTTAGCACTGTTGGGATTTCTCTCTGCTCAATCAAAAGCTGTGCCTTAGAGATCATATTTTTAGATGGGGCAGAAATTTGCATGGGGCAAGTCCATTAAGACTCACATCAACGGTTGTTTTCCACCTTTAGGTCTCTGGTGGGTAGCTCTCTGCTGTCCCCACCTGTTATCAGCCAGAACCATCAGCGGTGGGTGGGCGGGTGGGTGGACTTCCCTCTCCAGGTCAGCCCTAGTGTCTGCTATCCCTGTCTCTGTTCCAGACTCTGTCAGTTCTTGCTGCTACTGGAGTTGGATCTAGGGTGGGTCTGGTCTGTCACCAGCCTCACCTTCACCACAACTGGCATAGCTCTGCCCATCCCTTTCCCTGAAAATTCTTTGGCCCATCATTGCCATCTTAGGAAGATGCCAGCTCGGCTGTAGTTGAGGCATGTATAGCTGGAAAAAGAACTGTATTTTTTTTTTTTCAGTACTAGGGGTTGAATCTAGGGACAGCCTATCACTGAGCTACATCCTCAGCCCCATTTATTTATTTATTTATTTATTTTAAAATTTTGAGGCAGGCTCTTGCTAAGTTGCCCAGGTTGGCTTTAAACTTAAGATCCTCTTGCCTCAGCCTCCTGAGTTGCTGGGATTACAGATGTGCACCACTGTGCCTGGCTTGTATCTATATCTTTCTATTGGTAGATGAGAAGACCTGGAGTTGGGGTGAGGCAGATGGGGAACAGTCAGGCAGACAGATGGGCAAGTTACCAGATGATTAGACAGGCTGACACGTGGTAGTGAGTGTCAGTGGATAGGTGGGCAGTGGCCAAATGCCAGGAGGACTCACACTGGGTGGACAGCCTGCGCACCACGGGCTCCATGCTCCAGGCGGCCAAGTTGCTGGCGCCCTGCACGCCCTTCTCGTAGGCATTGCACACGGAGGCCACCAGGGGGTGGGCTTCCTTGGTGCTGGTGTATGTCTTCTGGAAGCACTCACAGGTGCCGCTCACCACAGGCAGCTGCATAACGCGCTGCAGCACATTCTCCTGCTCCTGGCAGGGAAGAAACGTGTACAAGTTAACCATCTCCTTTCTAGCCTCCCGGGAAGGTGACTCCAGGGCTGGGCAGCCATTGGCAAAGCTATTCTGAGTCCCAGAGACCTGGGAGGAACCAAAGCCAAAAATGTCTTGGATGCCTTGGTCCTGGGAGCCTGAGGGAGCCCACAGGGAAAACAAGAGCCAGCCTGCCGTGGCTTTCTGGCCATAACCCGTGCTCTGGGGGGCTGCTGAGGCAATCTGTTCCCAGGAGCCAAGCTGAATTGCAGCACCCCTCCTAGACTTACTGGTAGAGAGCAAGTGTTGTCAAAGTGCCTGTCCAGAGTTTTAGTCCACCTCTGAGTGGTGGCTTCATCTAGGCCTATTCCATCCAGGTCTTTCTGAGGTCCTGCCTCCCTGCTCATGGAAGCTGGTCCAGTGCTAAATACACTCTCCTTCCCTCCCATCTATTTCTGCCTTTCATGTCTTCTCTGAAACTTCCTAACTCTCCTCCCTCACATCAGAAGCCTCTGAGTTCTTCCCTGGGCTGTCTCTGTATTGATGTCACTGTGCTGTGATTCCCTGGGTACTTGTTACTCTCTCTCCCAGTAGACTGTGCACTCTGTGTTCTCAGTCCTAGCCAAAGAAATGGATCACAGAGGTGCACTTTGTAGAATGCCTAAGTTTTCAGTGCGCCCAGAATGGGAAGCTTGGCCTCCAGGAGGCTCTGTGGCAAGAAGCCTTTCCAGAATTTCTTTGCTAGTCTTGCATTTGCAATTGTAACTGCAATCCATTTTCACCCCCTCCCCATCCTATTCTCTTCATTCTGAAACAACTCTGAACTATTCTATTTCATCATTCATGGATTGGTGTTCTCACATCTGACGTCAAATTTGTCTCCCTTTGAAAGTTACTTCTCTGTACTAAATAAAATAGCTCCAGTTCCTAACTTGCTCCACACCATGGTCTGGTGACCTCCTTCTCTGGATATGCTACAGCTTAGCACTGTCCTTTTTGCCAGTGACTCTGTGATTCAGCATTATCACCATCACTTTGCTGACAGGGAGACATACTCAGAGATGTGAATGACTTACCTAAAATCACACAGCTAGAAATTGACAGAGCCAGGATTCCAAGTCAGACTTGAAATGGCATATCTGGAATTTGCTTTAAAATAATGTAAGGTGAATTGATACGGGTGAGGATGAAGTAGTTTGGCTGTGGATTCATGCTAGTGAAGGGTGCATAGGGCCTTACTATATTCTTCTACCTAGTCTTATGATCATAAGAATTCTCCAGATTAAAAACACCCCAGATGTGACTCATGCTCAAACTCTGCATAGCTTCGAATGTGCCACTATGGCAGGATTCTTTCTGCCCTAGCAGCGAGGACCTAATGCTAAGTTAGCAGGGCCATCAAGGACACACTGGACAGAGCAGGCCACAGTATTTTAGCTTTTCATCCTGATGGTGAGTTGTAAACTGGAACTAGAAAAAGACTTGGATAAGTCACAAAAAAGTATTTTCTTTAACATTTGGACAGAGTCTTAAAGGGTTATTTGAGACAAAACCAAAGGGAGAAGCAGATGCTGGGAAAGGAGGAAAACTGTTAAGATATTACTGCATATGACCATTTTACGCCTCTCTGTGTTGTGGGCTTCAGTATAAAACTTCGCATGTGAACCCTTGTGCAGAGGTTAATTGAAGCCTAATTGGTGATGAGATGGGTTTATAATTTTAAAGTTTCACTAACCATTTAAACTGTGCCCAAATAATAGAGGTTTTGCCAAGAGGCATCAGGCACACCTAAAAGGATCAAAATCACTCCAAATCACAGTGAAAATCGCAACAGCTGTGAACTAGATGAACCATTCACAGTATAAATGATGCTGGAGTCACAAACTGCAGTGGCTCTGCATGAATACATTCAGCTGGCTGGTGGTGAACAAAACAGGGACGTACGCAGCAGGGTTTAGAATATGGTAGTTCCCTTCCTTTCTATTCTTCCCCACCCCCAGCCAGGATTTGTGTCCTTTTTTCCCCCCAAGGGCTTAGGGTTTTTTTTTAAATTTTTTTTAAGTTGTAGATGGACACACAATATCTTTATTTATTTGTATGTGGTGCTGAGGATCGAACCCAGTGCCTAACACATGCCAGGCAAGTGTGCTAGTGCTGAGCTACAACCCCAGCCCAAGGGCTTAGTTTTTAATTGACATTTTTCCCCCTCCAGAGCCTTCCATAACCCTCTGCAAAAGGTAGTGAGAGCAGGAATAACTGAAACATGGTCAATGACCTAGTTTATAGTTTAGACATATCTTGCTCCAGCTCCCCTGAATCTCCCTCCTGGCTCCTTCCTCCCATCAGGTGTCCATTCCCTACCCCGCAAGAGCCCAAGTTACTCACAGGAAGGTCTCCATCCAGCAAGGTTGGGCCCTTGTTGACTGCCATCCTAGTTCTTCACACTGCAAAGCAGAAAGTCCCAGGTCCGTCAGAGGCCCGCAGGCTTGCAATCCACAGTTTCTTACCTCCCATGGCCACCCACTGGACCCAGGCTGTCTGGGGGCACAGAATGTCATTTCTTAGAGTTCCAGAGCACCAAGTTGCTTCTCACCTACTGGTCAACACCATGTTTCTTATAAAGGTTTACGATAAGAAATGAAAAAATGCAGGTGGCCATGAGAGATAAAAGGTTTTAGATGAAGTACTGGGCTCTTCAAATGAAGATCCAAAAGAGACTAAAAGAATAAGTTTTAGGTTTACTCCTTTATAAAAAACAAAACAAACAAAAAAAAAACCTGTGGTTTAATTCCTCTAAGAAAGCATCGTGTCCCTCTATAACTCAGCTAGGCAAGTAACCAGTCACTCATAAAACTAGCTATTTCAGCTGTGTTCTGGAAAAAACTATTGACCACCAAACAGCTACTCTAGAGTCCTGGTAATTCACCTTGAATCTTTCCCTCAATAGTTTCCCTGCAGGTCTCTTCATCCCCAGTAAAAGTCCCAAGAGGCCTTTACCCTCAACTCCTTCCCTTTAATACTCATAAACAAGCCAGGTAAGGAGAATCCCCCAGGATCCTCACACTCACTGCAACTGACCACCACCTCAGCCTCACAGAGCCCACACTGTGGAGTGCCTCCTCGGCAGGAACACTTCCAGCCACTCCAGGGAGTCTTGGGCAATGCTACCAGGCCTCTCAGCTAGAGGAGGGCAGAGAAGAAGAGAAAGTTGGAGCAGCCTGTTGCCATGGCTATCTGACCCAGGGTCCCCTGGGCTCATCCTAACTTCTATAAGGATAGTTAGCCAATGAGAAGGTAGATTGCAGAGCTGGAGGACACCCCAGGCTCAGAGAATTCATTATTCCAGAGTCATGAGGAATAATTCTATAACATCAGTCCTCAGTTGACAAACTTTTGCTTTTCATAAACAAGGTATTAACACATATGTCATTAAATCCATAAGCTCTAAAGTTCCAATTATTCTGTAATCTTTGATCCTTTTCCCCACGAGGGTCCTGTTGGACAATTTTCAGTTTGTCTGATGCTTTCTTATTTATTTCAAAAGTGAATATTGATGGGGCTGGGGATGTGGCTCAAGCGGTAACTCGCTTGCCTGGCATGCGTGGGGCACTGGGTTCGATCCTCAGCACCACATAAAATAAAAATAAAGATGTTATGTCTGCCGAAAACTGGAAAATAAATATTAAAAAATTCTCTCTCTCTCTCTCTCTCTCTCTCTCTCTCTCTCTCTCTCTCCTCTCTCCTCTCTCTCTAGGAAAAAAAAAGTGAATATTGAAAAGTATGACTTAAACCTGCACTGAGACGCAAAGGCCTCTTGGGACTGAATGTGCTAGTCTTTGATTATTGGAGATAAATGCTCTCAGTAAAAATGAGATGGAGCTGGGGTCAAGTCCTTGAGAATATGGACTTTGAGGGAGAAATTTCAACCTCTGTAAATTCCTAGAGTCCAAGGAAATGTGTTGAACTTTACCTGGCCTAAGATGCCACCAAAATAGGCAGTGGGAGAGAGGTTTTGTTCTTCTGAGTCTAGAGAGTGACAGTATTGACAAGATTCTATCACCAACCAACAGCACTAGGACAACCAAGAACTATCACTGGGTCATAATTTCCTCAGCAAGAACTCAAGTTCTAGTTCCTGGCTTCCAAGATGATGGAGGACAGGGTGCAAGCCAGTGACTTCAGATTGTCTAAGAAGGGCTCCTTAAATAAAAATAGATAATAGGGCCCAAAGAGGTGACCCATGCCTGTAATCTCAACTCAAACGTTAAAAGGAGGATTGCAAGTTCAAGCCCAACATGGGCAACTTAGAAAGACCTAATAACAATAATAGGATAATAGAAGGACAGCACTTATTTTCCCTGTTGTTGGCAGAAATACATGTATTGACTCTGCTAAGTTGTATGATATGGAAACAGGAGAAAGGGGCAGGCGTGGAGTGAAACAGTACTTTATGATGGATCTTTGGTACTAAAGGGTGTTTCTATAATAAAGTAGGAATGAGAAGTTATAAAAAGGAAAAGATAATCAAGCAGAGAGCCTCTGAAAGGAGTAATAACTTTGTGATACAATTAATACTTCTTGAACCAATCTGAACATCTCTGATATAAGATAGTAATGGAGAGGACAAGAAGCATTTTAAAGAGGTGCACTCTGTCCTCACTTCAAGGTTCAGGACAAATTATCTGGGGCTTTGTGTCTGGGTGACAACCTGGGCCAAAGGGCAGTATTCAGTAGTGGCTTTGGGCCAGAGGGAGTAGAGGGCTCTGTGCCTGAAAGCTCTGCTGACAAAGCTGGGCTTTTAGCCACTTCAGCTGGGATTCTAGAATGTGGGTGAGAGGTAAAGAGTGGTGAAAGGGCTGAGGAAAATCCCAAAGGAAGAAGAGCCAGCCTCCAGTAGCAGTTGTCAAGACATGGAGCTCTAGCTTCCTTCTCCACCACCAAAAGAGCTGGAACCTTGGTAATCTTGTTCACAGGTGAATCCCCCAACTCCAAGGCAAGCATGGACTCAAATATTTGTTGCTGAATAAGTAAATTTTCAGGCAACAATGTCAGTTGTGAAAGTGGTGGCCTGTATGTCTATTAGGGAAATTGTGGGTATTTGGAAACCCTCATGAATGTGGAGGCTTAGGGTGGGAGGGCTAGCTTGGAAGGAGAAAGATGCACAGGGAGGACACCAGGACACCATGGTCCATGCAAATTCTAGAAGACATGACATTTTTCCAACTCCCCACTCCCCACTCTCCTTGCAGAGGACAAAGTCACCAAGATTGAAATCAATGAAACATGCCCCCATGAGCTCAAGGCAGTGTGCTTCAGGCAGAGGCCATAGCACCAGGCTGCTTCAAGCACCGCTCCAGGATAGCAATGTGGTTAGAGCTTCTTAGACGGAACCTCTCAACCCAGGACCTCCACATCTAAACCTCCCTGCAGTCCACCTTCTCAGCTTTCATCTCCCTGCCCAGAGCTCAGGGACTGTCTGTGTTCCTGTTAACTCTTTTCTAATCCCAGAACACATTCACAGATACATGAATCAGTTTTGTCTAGAAATTTATTTGGCATAATTAATCTCTTACAGCAGGGAATCTGGACAAGATTAAAAAACAGTTATTTAAACTTTTTTATTTGCCCTGCTTCAGCAGCTTTCATTTCTCTTAAAACTCCAAAATATTCTTTGTCAAACCTCCTTTATTTATTTATTTATTTATTGGCACGGAGGGCTGAACCCAGGGGCACTTAACCACTGAGCCACATTTTGAGGCAGATTCTAAGTTGCTTAGGGCCTCACTAAATTGCCTAGGTTGGCCTTGAACTTGTGATTCTCCTGCCTCAGTCTCCTGAGCTGCTGGGATTACAGGTGGGTACCACCATACCCAGCTCAAATCTCTTATCTTGACTGATCAGATTAAAAACAGCCAGTCACTGGGTGCACTGGTACACACTTGTAATCTCTATTTGGGAGGCTGAGGAAGGAGAATCAAAAGTTTGAGGCTAGCCTGGGCAAGTCAGTAAGACGCTGCTCAAAATTTTAAAAAGGGCTGGGGATGTGACTCACTGGTAGAGTGCTTGCCCAAGATGTGCAAGACCCTAGGATGGATCAATCCCTAGCACCCCTGCCCTACTACACACACACACACACACACACACACACACACACACACGAATAACAGAGAGCCAAGGACCAGGGTCTACTTTTCAAAAAACTCGATCACATTTATGGGAACCTTACTCAGTGCATATTTTTCTGATTTCCATTCAGATAAATGACATGGCTTTACTTTAGTGTTGGCCTCCTACCTACTGGCACCCTATCTCTCCACTTCTCTTCCCTCAAACTAAAGGACCTGGATTTACAAATAAGTTAACTTATTATTTATAAATAAGTAGGAACACAAGTAAATGCTTCTGTGTCCTCTTTATTGGCCCCTTACTGCTCCCTCAATGATCCTAAGATCTAAGAAAATTATGGTTTTCCTACATTCACAAGAATAGTCATGAAATTTTAGACTGCATACATTTTGATGAAAATTAATGTGGAATTGCCCAAACTGTTACATGGTTTTAAATAAAATAATCTGGATGACAGGTCTAGGTAGCTTTAGTTTTGTAGGACAAAATATAAACCATCATCAAAAGTTCCAAATTTGAGAAGGGTAGAGGTCAAAAGCACAGGATTCTGGAGTCTCATACTTGTACTCAATCATGAAGGCAGTGAGTTGTCACAGAACTCACACTAGAAGGTCAAAGGAATGTCCTGACCCAGGTTTTATTTTTTTTCAGGATCAATTTTCTTATCTGTCACAATCTACATAATAGGCAGGATGTGACCTTCCACCTATTTTTCTCTTTTGTTTACTTCTGATTTCTGCTTACTCACTGCATTATTAAAGGGTTCTACCCACAGACATATTTACACAATGAAGGTGCCTGATATGTTTCTGATTCTACTTATGAACAAAAGGACAAAAATACAGTGATGGGGTTGTTTGGGGCTGTAGCTCTGTGGTAGAGCACTTGCCTACCACATGTGAGGCACTGGGTTTGATCCTCAGCACCACATGAAAAAAATAAAATAAAGGTTATTGTGTCCATCTACGACTAAAAATATTAAAAAAAAAAAAGTACAATAATGGCCAAGGCCAACAAGTGAGGAGGCCTTCAGCCCAGCTCCCCTCCATCCTGCTACTGACAATCTTGGAGGCAGGTATAGCTGATAGAAGTGGTTAGCTATCAAATCTGAAGGTGCTGTGCATCAGATCTATGAAAATCATGTGAAACCAATAATCCATATAACCTAATCTATATGTATATTAGTGTTCACTTATTAGTTTTATCGGGTCTTTTTCAATTTTTTTCCTTTCAATTTTTATTCATGTGGCAAATGCTAAGCGCCTACTATGCACATAAGAGATGCTCAGTAAATGTTGGGTGAATGGAAAATATTCAGAAATTCAGAAGTCATTCCAGCACTCTAAAAACACCATAAATCTTCATGCTCCATTTTTGGCCCCACCTCAGCTCACATTACAGGTCATAAATGCTCATGTGAACAAAAAACATAAGCATGATATGACATGATTTGTGACCGATGTAAATGTTTGTTTCATGAAGATGTCTTCTTTAAACAGTCACTGGTCCTGAGCCTACCAACACCCTAGAGGATCTTCAGCTTCATCTGAGGATAGGCCACAGTGATGATACCTGCCACAGAGGATACAAGACCTCCAAGCCCAATGATGCCTGGGTTGGACCTATAGATCCCCATCTGGTCCAAGGGGATCAGGATGTCACATAAGTTCTTCACTGTGTCCAGAAGCAAGGGAGGATGCTGCTTCAGAGATCGGAATAAAAGAAGAAGGAAGGACTGAAGCCATTCTGTTTCTTCATCAGCCAAGCTGTATCCAAAAGGATTCTGGGATGACTTCTCTCTCGTTGCCCTGTCATGTGCAAGCCGTCCCATCTGCAGGGAGATTTCATACAGATCCCTGACCAGGCTCAGCAGGAGAAAATAGTAGTAGTGGCGGGTGGCCCATGTTTGCCATTTCTCTTTGTTGATGCTCATGGTGAGACCCACACTCCTCACCCAGAGAATGGTGTCACAGATGAAATAAACCACACGGTTCAAGTTGGCTAATGTTAAGCATAAGCGGGGCACTGGGTCGGTGGCATGAATGCTCTGCTCAGTCGACTGGACAGCATGTACCACGTTGCCTAATCGGAACCCTGCAAAAAGAACCCACACAGTTAACAGTTACTCATTTCTAGGTATTGGGCTGCAGAATCTCTGTGTCAGCATGAGGATCCAGCATGGTATTTTAATAATTGATGATTGTTTGAAATTCAGTCTTAGTTTAGGAAAGGAGGACTTTATAGTATGTTGAGGACACCTAAAATGATGCTGGAAGGCACAAAAGACAGTGACTTTTAAAAATTTATCTCCTCCATTCCAGTGAGTATCAATGTTAACATTGACTTTAGTCCACTCCAGGCATGGCTGGTTAATCATGAGCATGGGTTGTTACAATGGAACATTACTACCTCCACTTCTTCTGAAGGAAGGGCAATCATGATATGAATCCATGTACAACATTCTCCTGGAGTCTAATGTCTTACACTTTATTTAATTTCCAGACAAAAATACTGCCTTTTGAAAAAACACCATTATCATTTTGCTATTTCTCTGGTCCAAACCCTCTTTACTGCCTATGGTCAAGAAGACAAAGTGGAAATGGTAAGATTGTATTGTGGGCTCTGGATGAATTAACTAACCTCTGCAACTACATGTCTGTATGAAAGCATGCACTTCAATTAATGAGTCAACAAGTATTTATGGAGTACCCATAGAATGAGTTCCGGTCCTAAATATTATGAAAGATACAACAGAACTACTCAGTAAGGGCTCAGATATGGCTACTCTCAGAACACTAAGAATCTCAAGAGTGCTTGGTATTATTTTACCAAAAATAACACAAAACAGGGCATGTCATGACTGTTTTAGTATACAGATTTGGGTTCTGATTCTGGTCTTGCACTAACTGGCTGAATGACCTTGAAGAAACCCCTTCTGGACCTCTAAAGGACCTCTGAGCTCCACCAATCTAAAGAATCTAAAACAGAATTTCTAATTGTGGCTTCAAGCCAAATCTAGAAAAGCTCACCTCACCCTTCCCATGCTCTGCTTGACAGCTTAAGTCTTCTCTGTCAAACCAGTTTCTTAGTTTGACACTGATCCTCCAACACATGATTTGCTTTTAACAGTTCTGAGCCTTTGCTGGAGGAAACTGCCTCTCCAACCACACCTCAATTTTTCTACCTTCTCTAAAACATCTTTCTTTACCCTGGTCACCATATCCAGCACTTGTCTTAATGTTTATAGTATGATCTTATTTTTCCTACAAAGTTAAGAACTGTCTCTTTATGAAGTAGGTGCTCAAAAACAACTGATCAATATGTGATGGTCTACATCCCATTCTAATGCTTCTGCTGGCCTGCTGTGACAACATCTGGTTCTTGTCAACAGTGAGGAGCAAGACATATCATTGCTATATGAAATATGGGATTTCCTAGGATGATTTATTATGAAAGTAAGTTAAATGAATGCAAAACACTGCTTCATTTTTTGCCTTTAAAATGAAACTACCTTGTAAATTGTCTAAGAAAATGTATTCCTCCAATCCTCTAGCAATCCTCAAGAGAAGAAGGTGGCCTAGGTCATTGCTATTCTGTTCTATAAAACAAAGGTTCACAGGAACCAGAAGCTCATGCCAGGGATTGCCAAGATGTTTTGTGGTTGTAAGAACAAAAGATGAGCTAACACATTTTATGTCCCACTTGTTATGATCAAGCAGAAGGATCTGGCATAGCACCAAGCGTGAACATAGGATGATGTATGTGAATGGTCTGCAGGCAAACATTCAAATTTTGGGGCCTGGAGTTCCATGAGGCAGCCTTACTGGTCAACTTCATCAATAACCTTGTTTGACTTGAAATTAAAACCTTGAAAGCACACTGTGAATTACAGTGTCTGAAGCTGAGGATTCTAAACCAGGAGCCACTGTTCCTCAAGAGACAGAGTACTTACATTTACGCCCAGTGCTCACACTGGACTCCAATTTCTTGAGCTTCATTACCACCTTCTCTTTGCCAGCTTTAGGCTCTAACAAATATCTAAGCAACATGCATGTGTATTGAGTGGCTCTGAAATGGAAAAAAAAAATGAGGAAAATGATTGACCAGCCAAATAAAACTTAATTCATGAAGTAAAGGAAAAAGAAACATCTCTCTGAAGACAAAGTTTCTAAGAGGATTTATCCTCAGCAGCTCTTCCAAGAGCAAAATTCTGCAACAGTCATTCTGCAGAAGGCCAAAGGGTAGAACATGTAATGGAAATGCAAACCAAAGGTTATTATGAAAAAGGACTCTGCAATAATGCAGTGAACAGCTCCCCAGAAGGCTCCTTACTGGCACAGAAAAATGAGTGTAGTCGAAGTGGAAATTGCCCCAAAGTCTCCCTGTGAAGTCTGCAAAGATCCATACATGTTATTTTCTCCAGTGTAGAAAAAAATCATTCTATACATTCAGATTTCTTTTTTTTTTAATATTTATTTTTTAGTTTTAGGAGGACACAATATCTTTATTTTATTTTATTTTTTTATGTGGTGCTGAGGATCGAACCCAGTGCCTCACACATGCCAGGGGAGCGTGCTACCACCTGAGCCACATCCCGAGCCCACATTCAGATTTCTTAAATTAACCATTCTACCACATAGTTAACCTACTATTTACGTGAGAGGACACAAAATTCAAAATTCAAGATCCAAATGAAAATCTTCAGCCTGAATATTGTTTAATCTTTTAAAAATTAAGGACAAAATACACACCAGTACACAAATTAGTATAGACATATTTTATATTTGCCTTTCAAAACTTATAAGTATTATATATAAAATACAGACAGAATCCTGTTTAATAATACTATATACTCAATAAAGAGAGTGCCTACTTTAACAATGACTTACTGATAAATATAACAAATGAGAAATTGGATATCACAGAAACATCCAAATGCATCTGGCAGTCTAGTCAATAAAAGTAAGTGCCAGTTCCTACTGTCCTATAACTGCATTTGAGTCCTTTTTATGATATAAATATTAATCTCAAAAAAGTGGCACATTTTCCAAAATTTTAGTAATTAAGTAAAAGAAAAGAAATGGTTGGGGGTGTGGTTCAGTGGCCGAGTACTCCCTTAGCATGCACAACACCCTGGGTTTGAGTCTAGTACCATAAAAAATAGAAGGAGAAGAAGGAGGGGGAAATAGGGGGAGAACAAGACAGACAGAGATCTGTCTTCTCTCCTCTTTTTTTTTTTTTATATTGGGGATTGAACCCCGGCATGCTCTATCACTGAGCTGCATCCCCAGCCCTTCTTATTGAGACAAGATCTTGCCAAGGTGCCCAGGCTGGCCTTGAACCTGGGATCTTCCTGCCTCAGCCTGAGTCGCTGGGCTTACAGGTGTGTCACTGAACCAGGCACTCTGCCTTTTTTAAAGTGTGCTTTCTGATCAGAGGGCTCAAGCTACTCATGTCAGATTTGATCTGACAATAGGAGTAGGTCTGAAAATGGCAATATTTGATGAATACCAGCTTGTTCATGGAGGTTATATAGATCATTAAGAGGGCTGGGAAATGAACACTAGAGATCTGATCTTGCTGAATAAATATATCCTAAGTGATTATTTAATTAACACCCTTCTTGATAAAATTGCAGGATATATTCTGGGTATACTGGAATTATAGTTTTCTATTTTAATAAAGGTTGTATATATTGCAACTATTTTGAAAAGCTATCAAATTAATTAGAAAGATTTAGCACTTAAGAGGTGGGCCCTGGAATCTTTGTGGATTTGTATCTCTCAACTCTGCTGCTTAGTACCCATTAACCTCCTTCTGTCTCAGTTTCCCATCTGTGAAAGTATCTACTTCACAGAGTTGTCATGAGGGTTAAATAAGTTAATATGGGCAAAGCATTGAGAACAAACTTGATACAGTTTGCTTACCAAAGTCTCTTGGGGCTATACTTACTGGTGTGTTTTTGTGTTAGCACTTGAATACTGTTAAGTAAAACTGCAACAGTAACTATTGTGACTATTCTGCAGGAATGAACTAAAATACTAAAAGAAACATCATGAGCAAGGATTAATAATCAAAACAAACTGAATTTTCAGGGCACAGCATGTGCCTTGTAGATGCAGTTAGTTCTAAGGGCTCTCTCCACTATGTTTTTAGAGTTTATACAATTATTTCACACAGATGTGAATCACACAGATTGGGCAATAGTGTAAGATAAAGAAAATAAATAAAACTTCTGTTTCTCCATTAGCATTTTGAAATATCCCCTTGAGGGGCTATTTGAAACAAGTGGTTTGCTTCCCTAGTCACAAATGCCAACCCAAAATTTCTCTTTAACCCACTAAGTCCCAAAGTTTCAATTCTGCAAATATATATATTTTTTAAATCGACATGGGCTTATTAAAATACGCTGGAAAAGATCATCTATCCTTTATAGATATTTTCATATATATTCAAACACTCTATTCATTCACCTATTACTTTTCTCAAAAGAACAATTAAAATATAATATTTATTTCAAAGGGACTATAAATGCCCATTTCAAAGTTACAATTCTAAGTTTTAAAAACAGGTTTTGTATATAGGGCTTTTGGACATAATGAGTTAAAAGAAATCCCTTGGAAGAATGTTGGGTGGGGAGAACTCGGTTTTCCTTTACCAGGTTTTCCTTTACCCGGAGAAGAAAGTTCGGAGCGAGGAGGGTTGGTGGAGGGGTGTCACACAGCCAGCGGCCTCTAGGCGGCTGGGGTGCACAGCCCCTCGGAATTGAAGGTGAAGAGGGGCTCTTGTACCAAACTTCCTGAGCGGGAGCTGGAGCATCCTGCTTGCTTCGATTTCCCGGGTTATTAGCTCATTCCTCCTTCTCGGGTGCTGAGAACCCAGAGAGGAAGGGATGGAGGCCGCCGGCACTGACCTGAAGAGTCGGTCCCGACCTTGGGTCTGGTTGGTGAAGCGGATGAAGGCGTCCATGGCACCGGCCCGAGGCAACACGGGGTCGGTCGTGGGTCCTCTGGGGCTCAGCTGGCCCCTGGGGGTAGTCCGGGTCCGGGCAACTGCGGGGTGGGAGGGGCTGAGTCTCTCGGCCCACGTGAGGCCGACCCGCCTCCCAAGAGCTGCTAGCGGGTTTCCGGTGGAAACCGGAAGTAGCGGTTACCAAGGCGATACCGGGACGCCCAGCCGGGTGAGCTCAACCTCGGATCCAAAGATCGGGTGTGGCGGCTCTCTTGGTGTTCAAGGTCTTCGGATTGCCAGCTGGGTCTCTAAACCGAACCGTGAGGGGCCCGTCTCCCCGTTCTCAGGCGTTCCAAGGGCTCTGCACTTCCCGGCAGATCTCAGGCGCCCAGGAATCCCAGGGAGAATCTCAAGGAGTCTCTCCAGCCAGAGAACTCCCCTGGGCCTTTGCTTGGGGAGGGCATCATTTCTCAGCGCAGTGCCTCCCCCACCCACCCATCCCCCCACCCCCGACCTTCCCCGCTCGAGGTCAAATAATGGTTAGAGCTGAGCCAATACTTGGAGTGTATTTCTAACTTGAGAGCAGGGTAAATTATGTGAGAGATTTTTCTCTTAGGATTATTGAACACTGAAAGATGATTATCTGAGGAAGCCTTAAAAGGGTCGACATGCACAAAGTAGAGGCAAAGTAGATTACAATGAAGTTACACCACTGAATCTTCATTCGATGGGCCTTAATTTTGTAAGATGCATTCCTTACAGCCACAAAGTAAGGCTCTCTGTTTTTTGTTTTGTTTTTTTAAAGAGAGAGAGAGAGAATCTTTTTTTGTAGATGAACACAACACAATGCCTTTATTTTTATGTGGTGCTGAGAATCGAACACAGGTCGCAACCTTGCTAGGTGAGCTCTCTACCGCTGAGCCACATCCAGCCCAAGGCCCTCTGTTTTTGTAATCCTCTTCCTCTAATATTTTCAGGTCTGGGGTAAGCTTACAAATGGAAAGCCATATCATATGGTTAAATATTTAAAAAGTATAAATCGAGTAACAAATTATTAGATAAAATCTTTTGTTCTCCTGCTTTGGCAAATGTACATTTATATGTATAAGGCCAGGTTCACTTTTAGATTTCTTAGACTCCTTGAAAACCTGGAAACACAATTGGAATGTGGTAATGTAGCCACAACTAGACCCCTGACTTTTCCCACCCCCCTTTCTCTTCTGGTCTTTTGCTCCCACATACATCACTAAAAGGGTGCATATAGGGTGTGGATACTCCAAGACACATCCACATTCTGCCCATGCCCTATGCAGCTATGGGCACCTTTCAGGTCTAGGGGTGCTTAACAACGGAGAATACCTCCAGGAAGAAATCAGAAAGACTCATTCAGGTCCTGGCATCTTTTGGGCCATAATTTTAGAGGTGTGGGTATCCTGAACCTGGTCTTAATTAGAAGAGGGAAACTAGACTTTGGGTAAGTATATTCTCTCAGCCCCATGGATTACTCATGGTTTGCGGAGGGACATGCCTTTAAGAAGGATAAAAGTAGCCAGGTGTGGTGGTGTAGGTCTGTATTCCCAGTGAGTAGGGAGGCTGATGGAGGAGGATCATAAGTTAAAGGCCAGCCTCAACAATTTAGTAAGAGCCTGTCTCAAAATGAAAACAGAGCTGGAGATAAAGCTCAATGGTAAAGCACCTCTGTGTTCAATCCTAATGACTAAAAAAAAATAAAAGAAAAAGAAAGCCACATGTATTCTCCCTGCATAGCACAGGACTAGCAGTGCTGAAAACTATAAGAATTTGTTGACTTCTGGCCACATGGTACCAACTGCTGTGCTAAGTCTAGGCCTAGGGCAACAGGTTAGTCAGTTACACTGTAAATTGATAAGTACATACATTAATGTATTTGATGATGAGATGAGGAAAATGTGCTTTTTAAAAATATATATATATATATTTTAGTTGTAGATGGATACAATGTCTTTGTTTGTTTTATCTTTATGTGGTGCTCACCCAGGGCCTCATACATGCTAGGCAAGCGCTGTACCACTGAGACACAACCCCAACCCCCCCAAAGGTGCATTTAACAGATTTTTAAAGTATATATTTTTTAGTTGTAGTTGGACACAATACTTTTATTTTTTAAATTTATTTTTATGTGGTGCTGAGGATCCCAGTGCTTTGCACATGCTAGGCGAGCGCTCTACTGCCGGGTCACAACCCCAGCCCTTTTAAACAGATTTTTATCTTTTGTTTTCTATGCATGTGGCTTTTTCTATCTTGATTTCTTTCATTTAGCATGATGCATTTGAATTTCATTCATGTTGTTCATATCAATAGTTTGTAATTTTTATTGCTGAGAAAGATTCCATAATGTGAATGTGCCATAGCTCATTATCCATATACCCAAGTGAAATACATTCATGTTGTCTCCAGTTTGGGGCAATCACAAATAAAGCTGTTATAAATATTTAAGTACAGATTTATATATGAAATATAAATTTTATTTTTTCTTGCATAAATACATAGAAATATGATTGCTGAATTATATGATACATTTAACTGACTGCTAAAATTTTCTGAAATAGTTGTACTATTTTTATGGCCACTAACAATGTGCAAGAGTTTATCTGTTTGTCTACTGGTAAATATTTGAATTGTTTCCACTGTGATGTGCCTGCAAACAAAGCTGTAATGACATGGGCAAGTCTTAGACATACATTTTTCAGTTCCCTTCTATCACCCCTAGGAGTGGACTAACTAGATATTATGGTATGTATGTATATATATGTATACATATGTGAGGCAAGTGCTCCTTCACTGTGCTACAACACCAGCCCTGGTAACTATGTATTTAACTTTTTAAGAAACCCCCAAACTCTTCCAAACTGTTTGTACTACTTTCTCAGCATCAGTATATGAGCATTCCAGTTCCTTCATATCCTTTGCAATATTTGGTACAGTCTATTTTTTAAATTTTTAGGCATTCCAATAATATGTAATTGCATCTTATGATTTTAATTTGAATCTCACTAATACCTAAGACACTGAATATCTTTGAATGTTCTATTTGCCATTTGCTATCTGCATACCTTCTTTCGTTAAGTGTCTGTCTTTTGCTCATTTTTTAAAAACTGAAGTATTTATTTTCTTATTTTGAGAGTTTTTAAAATACTTTGGATACAGCTGAGCTTGGAGGGCAAATGCCTGTAATCCCAGTGACTCTGGAGGCTGAGGCAGGAGGATTGCAAGTTCAAGGTCAACCTCAGCAACTTAGCAAGACTTTGTCTTAAAAAAAAAAAAAGAGCTGGGGATGTGGCTCAGTGGCCACATCAATCCCCCCCGCCTCCCCCACGCCAAAAGCCAGCTGGCAATTATGAGATTTCCTTCCTGGCTGGTGGCATGAACAGGTTACTATTCACTGATTACTTCAGGTGGTTCTTTCAACTGGAGGGAAGCATCACAAGTGGACTCCAGTGTGGAAGAAAAGATGATGATAGCATCAGGGCCTTTATATGCCTCCCCTGGTCCTCAGACACTCTCATGGTGCAACTCTACTCCACTACATGTTACAGGTGTCCCAGGCTCCCCATTAAATGCTTTTTTTTTTTTTCAACTGTAGCATTGGGAGTCCTTTTTAAACACAATTTTGAGTTTTCTGAAGTACAGATTACTTGTTTTCTCTTTGAATTTTTATATACACATACAGACCAGAGTTGATAAGTTATAAACATTTTTGTAAAAAATGACTATTTTGATTTTGTAGGAGCGTTTTAGACAGTAATTTTTTTCAGGTCTCGGACATTTCTTTTTGTACAGATTTTTGTTTTGCTTTTGTGGTGCTGGGGATTGAACCCATGGCCTCTTGCATGCTAGACAAGAGCTGTACCACTCACTATACATCTCCAGCCTAGCAGACATTTTTATAAACCCTTGAAGAATCTCCTGGGTCCTGGGCACTGTGCCTGCAGATCTCCTGTGTGGCAGCAATGGGAAAGTGAGAAGGCAACAGATTGGACAGTGAGGACTGATGTTGTTGAGCTGAATCTCATTGGGGTTGAGGGAAGAGAAAGAAAGAGTATAGTCATGGCTTCTCACCAGGCTGACTTGAGCACAGTCATTTATCAATACAGAGAAGCAGAAGAAGGCTTTGTTCTAGGAGAGATGGTGAATTCCATTGGGGACAAATGACAGCTACTGTCCTATCAGGTGACAAAAGGCAACAGGGTGCCAAACTCCCCTCCTTCCATCATATCAAATATCTTCCTGGGTTGGTCAGAAGTTAGCTGTATCTTATGATATCCTTCTAATATGAAGACCACATCTTTGGAATGTAGTAGCAGTCCTGTGATTAAATAAGGAAAGTGCCAGTATCTGGAATAAATAATCCCCAGAGGCCACTGTGCTAGAGAAGTGTGATGTGCTGACTTCTTGCTTCCCTATTTTTCTCAAATTTCCTTTGCTTATTTCCCTTCTCAGCTTTCAGAGTTTCACAGAAGTTTCCTGTACCACCTTCTATGATGTCTACCAAGAGAAGTCAGACCCAGAAGATGAGGCTGCCTACATTTACTCAAAAGGTACCACTGGAGGTGCCATCCCCAACAGAGAAGGACTGGTCTAAGGATAACATAGAGGATTATGTCATCAAGGACCTAGATGAGGGGGTGAATTCCCTACCTCAACCTTATCGAATGATCAATAAGCTGGTGAATCTTGTGTTTGACTTGGCATGGGAACTTATTGAAGAGAGGGATACCTTGAAGGAATCTGAGATTGATTGCATCCAGCTCACTAACTACCCTCCACTGACAGAAGTCCAGGTAGGGAACCGGCGGCTGGCCAGAAGTCTCTGTTTCTCCGTTGAACTTTTTTTTTTTTTTTTACATTTTTCTTAGTTGTAGTTGGACACAATACCTTTGTTTTATTTATTTACTTTAATGTGGTGCTGAGGATCAAATCCAGGGCATTGCACACGCTAGGCAAGCGCTCTACCGCTGAGCCACAACCCCAGCCCCTCTGTTGAATGTTAATATGTGAAAACACCTGATCCAGGGAAGGGCTTCCTACTAGAAACCTTCATTTAATAAGACAGGTGCAATTTTGAAAGGCTGTATGCATGCTGATGTTGATTAAAATAGTTCAGGTAACTGTTATTGATACTGAGAAATCTGCTCTCTGGCTTGACAGTTGCAACTGGCCAGTGCCTCTTTTGTTGTTCTTCCCATAGTGCACTAGAAAAAGTGCGGGCGTGGTCATGTTTAGTGTTGCAAATGTGTATTTATTCTTTGTTTTCTCTGGCCTCTTTTCCCTGAAAGTGAAATGCTATGAATTTCTTAATATATGGGTAAGAGTTTTAGATGAGCACTGTGTCTGGGGATGATCTTTGGAGGAAAAGCTCTTCAACCTTTGAAAAGTACCTTGTGTTTCTTGAAGATAGTGAGAATGAAAATAATTCTGTTTTCTTTGTTTGTTTGTTTTTTCCCCCAGCTAAACAAAATGCCCAATTGTATGGCTATTTCCCAAGACTATGTATTTATTGGAGTAGGCAAAGGATTCTTCATCTATAATCTGTACAATACTAAACGAATATGTACTTGGGAGAAACTTAAGGTTGATGTCACCTCCATCTGGGCCACAGATTTAGGAAATGAAATACTGATTGCTCTCCTGGATGAAATGGGTATTATTTGTTCTTCATCTTTCTTTTTAGCTTAATATATAGGTATCTGCAGTTTAATTTGAGCTCCTTTCCAGGCATGAGTGGGGCCAAGCATGGATTTTTCACCCCTGGTCATACAGTAGTAGCTAATACCTTCAAGTATGGTGTGTCAGGCACTATTTTAATATTTTACATACATTATCCCATTTAATCCTTACAGCAGTCCTAGGAAGGAAGTACAATATATTATCCCTGTTTAGAAGAGGGATACTTGAGTTAATGTGCAAAGTAAATGGCACAGGCAGGCTTCAAACCAGGCGGTATAGCCCCAGAGTCCACCCAATTTCAGTACTCAGCAGTTCTGCCACCCATGTAAACCAGAGCTTGCTTTTTTCTGTTAGTCCTAGGATGGACCAGGCCTTTCTGGGGAGTATGGTATAGAACACTCTAGACAGTGTCCTGCATCAGTGAGTTGTTGCTATTGTTTGCCTCCAAAAGGCTGGGCTCCCGCTAGCCTGTCCTTAATGTTTGGGCAACCCACACCACTGCCGGGGATTAGGGAGCTTCTCTACTTTGCAAAACAGGATAAGGCAAGTGTAAGCATTGGCCAGGAAATCAGGAAGTGGCTTTCTGATATTGGGGCAAACAGGGCAGAATGTTCCTGCTTGCTTTGAGTCATCTATGCAATCATGCATCTCTCTAAACGACAGGCTCTGTTCAACCCTCACAGGTGCACTAAAGAATTATCTGCAGGAAATTGGCTTGACCAGACTGGCACAGTACGAGGGGTACTGTGGCAGGAGGAGTTTGAAAATAAAAGGCAGAGAGATCAGGAAATACTATTGTATTCATTGAGGAGAGAAATGAGGAAGGTCTGAGCCAAGGCAGGGGCTGTTAAAAATAGAAAGAAAAATGGTACTAGTATATTGTAAGTGGGATTAACTGTGGTATAAATCATACATGAACATAGCATAATTTGGTGGATTTCATTCCTTAGTACTTCCCTATGCCCCACCCAACTCTCTCCTCTCTCTGTCTTCTATTTTCATGAGATTCTTTCTCCTCTCTCTCTCTCTCTCTCTCTCTCTCTCTCTCTCTCTCTCTGTGTCTCTCATATAAGAGAAAACTCTGACCCTTGACTTTCTGAGTCTGGCTTATTTCACTTAGTATGATGTTCTCCAGTTCTCTGAATTTACTGACAAATGACATAAACTTAATTCTTCTTTACAGCTGAATAAAAACTCCATTGTGTTATATCTCACATTTCTTTTTCCATTCATCTGTTGACAGGCACTTGGGCTGGTTCCATAACTCAGTTGTTGTGAATTGCAGTGCTATAAAGCTTGATATGCGTGTATCACTATAGTATGCTGGTTTTAGTTCTTTGTATTATTTTTGAAACTTTTCTATGGGTCTAAAATTAGCTGAAAATAAAAAGTTTAAGCAATGGAAATATATTGTTGAAACAGGAGTGAGGTAGTATGTGTATGAGGTGGGGGATGGGGAGGTTTGAGGGGGCAGTAAAGAAAAATGACTCTATCTTAGCTAACTGGCAGGATGATGATTGTAATTCCTTGAGAACAATTATAGAATAAGATTTTAGGGGTCTGAGTTGAAAAATTCCATTTGAACATGCACAATTTGAGGCACCTGGAGGATGTTGGTGGGAATGATTCTCAGAAGAAGTTTGGTTCAAAGAAAGGTTTAGATTTATTATTTTGTGCTTCATTTCTGTGTAAGCCTCAATATGATAAATTTGAAGGCAAACCACCTTGGTATCCCCAGCATTGGCTTGGAGCAGATAGCTCATGAGTGTTTATTGGGTTGAATTAGACTTTCACCTGGTCAGATACTTTATGAGGTCTATATCATGAGTACAAAGGCAAGTTATGAGTTCTGGGAGGTACCTAAACAAAGAGGTAGGAGGTCATGGGGGGTGATAATCATACACTGGAGCCCTTGGGCTAATTGGGAATTAGAATGACAGAATTACTTATCAATTCAATGAAATAACCACATGAGAAGCTTGTTGGGGCTGAGGCATATGGAAGGGTAAGATGTGATGTGTTCCCTCGAAGAATCTATGACCTGGCAAAAAGAATTTTTCACAGAAGCCACATGGACAATGGTGTGAAACAGTAGGGGATGATGTGACAAAACACATCAAAGGGTGGCTTGGTCAAGGGCTGTATTAGTGTGACTAAGGGTCCTACAGGAGACTTCTGTGGGTAAAGTCAGGTAAGTAGAGGTGGCCCAGGAGAGATAACAACCTCAACATTTCAAGTGGAAGGATGAGGAAGGTGGAGAGATTAAGGGCAGCACAGGCAGAGTGGGGGCCAGGGAGAAGGCTAAGAGTGCGTGACAAGTTCAGAGGTCAGATACAAATCCCAACCTTTTTTGGCTCACTTGTCTTACATGCTCACTTGTTTTTCTGTTTCAGGTATCATTAGACTATTTTACTTTTATAAGGATAGACTTTTCCTAATCAAAGCCATCAATGAAGTGGTAAGTTCCTGTTCTTTCCCTTTACTCGAGATATTTGGAAGAATAACTTCAGGAAGTGCCCCTGCAGAGTATGAACTGGAGAGTTGATCTCATTTAAAATTTTTTTTTTTTTAGTTGTCAATGGATCTTTTTTTTTCTTTAAATTATTTATATGAAGTGCTGAGGATCAAACCCAGAGCCTCATACATGCCTGGCAAGAGCTCTACCATTGAGCCACAAGATGTTGAAGAAAAGGGTGCAATGGCAGGGAATGTTACAGGGCCTGGTGGTGGTCAAGCGCAACAGTAGATATTCCACAAACTGCAACTGTTATAAATGCTCTAACATTATGAATGCTGTCCTTGCCATAGGGCTAGTCTTCCATGCACTTACCAGAGAATTATCAGAAGACTGAGAGTGGAAAGGACTGAGAGTTGGATAGTGTCTCCAAAGCCAGACTCAAGCAGTGGTTCCCAGCTTACTATAAATGGGGATCTTATGGGCACCTTGGGATGATAGTTCCTGTGCACAGGGAGAAGTAATGAGGGGGCTGACAACCAGAGTGCAAGAGAATTAGGTAGACCAGTGACAGAACATGCATCAGGGTTCTAGACCATGACTGTCATGGAGTGCTCCTTGCACGCCATGCTGTACTTCATGCTGTGAGGTCAGCAGTGAAGAGAAGGGAAGTCAAGGAGATGAGACCTGAGGTCTGCAGCACAACTCCAATTTATAGATTGAGATGCCCAGAAAGCCCTAAACCACAAAGTGGCAAAGAGACCAAGGTGGCAAAGAGACAGAAGCTGCCGATCCACCAGCTGAACACTGGTCCACTCCCCAGGCTGCCAGGGCAGGGCTGAGTGCAGGCACGCCACCTCTCCCCTCACTGGCATGATCTCCAACAAGAGATGAATTTCCAGCAGTGAAAGATGAACAAAGGATTGAAGCCCAAGAGCCTAAGTGCTTGCTTTTTGCCTGTTGACCCGATAATTAGAATTATATATCTATGTAGCATCTGTTCTGTATTTTTTCTTTGGTAATGACAAATGTGTTTTGTAAAAAAGTCCGGTTTTCCTAGGTATGCCATTTATAGGTTTTAAAACAATTTTATATCTGGCCAAGTTGAAATTTTTAAGAACTTTGGTTGGAGGACATGTGTGGTAAGCCTTTGATTTGCTGAGGGATCTAGCTAAACAACATAGTGGTCTCTTCCACCAACATTTTATCATGAAAAATTTCAAAACTGCAGAAAAGTTGAAAAATTATATGGTGTTTACTTAAATGCTTACCACAAGAGACTGCAAGAACTTCATTTTTTACCTTTTTCCCCTATATATTTTTTTCCCTTTTTGGTGGTGGGGATTGAACTAAGGGCCTCACACTAAGAACACTCTCTACCACAGAGCTACATCTCCAGCTCCCTCATTTTTAACTTATAATCTGCCACCCCCAGCAAATTAGCAACTTTCAAACTTTAAAAGTCTTAGAAATAATAAAGATATTAATATGAAAAAACAAGCCACAGACTTGGAGTACATATCTGTCTGGATATATGCAAATATACGTACATAACGTCTATCTTTAAAACACATAAAGAGGGCTGGGGATGTGGCTCAAGCGGTAGTGCACTCGCCTAGAGTGCGTACGGCCCGGGTTCGATCCTCAGCACCACATACAAACGAAGATGTTGTGTCCGCCAAGAACTAAGAAAAAACAAATGTTAAAAAATTCTCTCTCTCTCTGTGCCCCCCCCTCTCTCTCCCTCACTCTCTCTTTAAAAAAAAAAACAAAAAAACACATAAAGAGCTCAGAATCAATAATAAAAAGACAAATCAACAGGGCTGGGTTGTGGCTCAGTGGTAGAGTGCTTGCCCAGCACCTGTGAGACTCTGGGTTGGATCCTCAGCACCATATAAAAGTAAATAAATAAAATAAAGGTATCATGTCCAACTATCACACACAAACACACAATATATATATATATATATATATATATATATATATAGAGAGAGAGAGAGAGAGAGAGAGAGAGAGAGAGAGAGAGAGAGAAAGAGAGAGAGAGAGAAACCAACAGATAGGCAAAAGACATGAATTGACATTTTACAAAGAAGACATAAGTAACCAATTTTTTAAAGTACTTAATACCATTAGTTAGCAGAGAAATGCAAATTGAATTACCATGAGATAGCATTACAGTTCTGTTTTAATGCTTAAAATGAAAGGGATGGACCATATCAACTACTAGGGAGGATGTAGAACAATAGGAACTTTCATATATTGATAGTGGAAAACTGAAAACCAGGTGAGTAATTTCCAGTTAAGTAATGACCTGTCAATCCCATTCCTAGATACTTACCCAAGACAAATGAAAATACATATCCATAAAAGGATTTGTATAAGACATTCACAGAAGCTTTATTCTTAATAATTAAAAAACTGAACACACAGAACAAATAAAAAGTTGTGATGCTGCATAATAATCCAATGGAATACACAGTATTTAATGACAAAACAGTGAACCACTGGTGATCATAATGCAGTAAATGACACTCAAAAACATCACATTGAGTGAAAAAAGCCAGACACAAAACAGAGCTTTCTGCATGATTCTGTTTATACAAAATTTAAGAACGGGCAAAACTAATCTATTAGTGAAGGAGATCATAACATAGATTGCATATAAGGATGTAACTGAACAAAATAGGCAGGTGGGAATTTTCTGGGGTAATGGTAATGTTCTATGCCTTGAACAGGCTGTCAATTACATGGATGTGTGCATTTGTTAAAAATTTATCAAGTTATGCAAATAACACCTGTGCCTTTAACTGTCCTTAAATTTAAAAAGAGCTCTCTAAAGAAAAATATATAGTGAATACTCATTTTATGAAATCAGCATAATTATGATACCTAAACTAGACATGGACTTTACCAAAAAAAGTACTGTTGGTGGACTAAAAAATACTAAAAATGTTAAAAACACGAATTCAGAAGATTTTTTAAACTTCATTGTCACCTTCTGAAGTTTCTAAGGTATAAACTTAGTATTCTGAAAACTAATAAAGGAGTGACTTCCCCCATATAAGCTGTATTTCAAGGTAACCAAATAGTGGGTGATAGATCTTTGTGGAAGAATTCTAACAAATGCAGAAGAAATAATAGAATCCAACTATCTTAATTTTATAAGCCATTTTGCAGAGAAATTGTCTAGGTAATGACACAAATGGCTGATGGGGAGCTTCCTGGTTGATGAGCCAGGATGTCACCTGTTCTCAATTATCAATCTTACCATCACTAGAAGAGAAACAAGCAGCTATTATGAGCCTCCTGATATTCTGCAGCAGGAAGGATTCTGTTCCTGCCAAAACAATTGAACTTAAATATAATCAGCCTCTAGATCCAGTTATCAGTTTACAGGGAACACTGGTCTGCCCACTCCACTCCCACCTTATTAAACAGCACTATGGGGATGCAATTAGTCCAATTCAGAATGTGGGGGAGAAAAGGCCTGGTTTCTTTAACAAGTAAATGACAAACAAAAAACAAAAATAAGTGGGAAGGTATTATAAATTAAAAGAGACTTAAGAGATTAAGTTAATTAAATGCAACCTGTGAACTTCATTTGGATCCTGGCTTGAGCAACTGCAAAAAATAAATTAAGTTTGTGAAACAATTGAGGAAATTGAAAAACTGATTAAGACACTAGATGGTATTTAGAAATTACTTAGATATTAGGTGATATTTAGAAATTATTTAGGCTTAAATAAAAATAGTAATTTATTGAGTTTAGGGGATGATAAAACAAGAGTTGTCATATCATGAGAAAAGGATGGGGGGGTTCATTATGCTATTCTCTCTCTTTTTGTATGTTTGAAAATTTTCCTAACAAATTGATATTAAACTATGTGCATCTAAAAACTTTTCCTTAAGTAAATTAGTGAGCTTACCAACCAAACTAGTCTAGCCACCTTATTTTGCTAGTAGTTTTCAAGCTCCTTAAATGGATAACATAACCATACATACTGAGCATCTCAACTTTCCAAAATTTGAATAAGTCTTATACTAGGGTTATATCCAGGCTGGGCTACAGTGTAGATAGAGCCTTTCATTCAGCAGCTAGCAGAGTTTTCAGTGTCAAAAAGAACTTATTGCAATTCATTTGAATAACTGAGTGCCAGCATAGACCTGAGGGTTTGCAAACCTGACTGGGAGATCTGATGTATGCCACAAATTCCCGGGAAATAAGTCTAAAACCCTTTAAACAGAAAAGTTAGTTCCACTTCCTTACATTTCAATCTTATCTGATTCCTGTACTAAGATGAAGTGTGTGAAGCAGTGGGAAGCATCTTTTCACTTTCTAAGCTTTCACAGGATCTCTATTCTGGCTGTGAACCACAGAAGGTCCTGAAATATGTTCTTCTTTTTTACCAGACTGTGCTTACTCTATCAGTATCTCTTTCTTTTCAGGAGGATACCAGCAAGCATAACACCTGTGTAAAGATGGCCATCTCTCAGGGTGGGGACTTTGCAGCCTTCCTCCTACAAGGCAAGGTTATCCAAAGTGTGAAGAAGACTCAGATTTGCAGCTCTTCCATAGGATTATTTTCCCCCCCCAAATCTTTTATTTAGAGATAATTTAGGTTTACAGAAGAGTTGCAAACATAGTACAGAGTTGCCCTTATGCCCTTCACCCAGCTCCCCTAATACCAACATTAACATGGTGGTGATATATTTGTGTATAGAAGGCAAATAATCTGTGGTTGATAGTTAATAGTATTGCATCAACATATACTATATAATACTATTAATAACTATTAATTTTATTTCTCACAATTTCATAAGTTTTTTCATTAACATAATTTCTTTACCCCAAGGGTCAATCCAGGTTACCATATTGCATTTAGTTATATATCACCTTAGTCTTTTTTAAAATTTTTTTTTAATATTTATTTTTTAGTTTTTGGTGGACACAACATCTTTATTTCATTTTTATGTGGTGCCGAGGATGGAACCCAGCGCCCCGTGCATGCCAGGCGAGCGTGCTACCGCTTGAGCCACATTCCCAGCCCTCACCTTAGTCTTCTCATATCAGTGATTGTTCCTTGATAGGTCCTTGTTTTCATGGCCTTTACACTTGGAAAAGGTACCAGTCAAGATATTTTGTGGAATGTCCCCCAATTTTAGGTTGTACATTATTTTTCTTATGATTCAACTGGGGCTAAGGATTTGGGGAAGATGTGCTGAGGCAAAGCATTGTCATTGCATCATATCTAGGGGTATGTGACAGCAGTGTGACTCATTTGGCTGATATGAACCTCAATCACATACTAAAGTGGTATCATGGTGTTTGCCAGGTTCTTCCATTATAGTACTACCTGCTGTTTTTTTCCTTTTCTTTTCCTTTATTTCTTTCCTTCTTTATTTACTTCCTTCTTTCCCTCTTCCTCTTCCCTCCACCTTCTTTCTTTCTTTCTTTCTTTCTTTCTTTCTTTCTTTCTTTCTTTCTTTCTTTCTTTCTTTCTTTCTTTCTTTCTTTCTTTCTCTTTCTCTCATTCATTCATTCATTCACTCATGGGGTCTTACCGTGTTGCACAGACTGGCCCCAAACTCCTGGGTTCAGGTGGTCCTCCTGCCTCAGCTTCTCAAGTAATGGGACTGTAGGCATGCACCTGCACAGCTTTGTTTCTCCCTGTCTTTTCTTTGTAAGGAGGAAGTCACAAAGTCAAGACCACACTCAGGAGAAGATGATTTAGGCACCTTTTGGAGAAAGGAGAATTAAAGAATTTGGGGACATACATTAAATCCATTATAATAATTAACATTTTGGGGGAGATACTTTGACGTGATGTGAATATCCTATTTCTCCTTTCAATCCTCGTACTCATCATCTGATCTTGCCTGCTGCAATTAGCACTGTTAATGGACATATTTTATGTAAATGTTTGTCATCTTGATTTTCAAATTTCAATTATTTTTACATATAGTATATGGAACTCTATTTATACTGTTTCCCAAGGGCCCTCAAATGTTAGATGCTTGGGGAAGATATATTTTATAATGCTTTTGTATCAAAAGAAATTTTTGTTTTATCTATATTCATTTCCTTTAGCTGTCATAACAAATTCATTGGTGACTTAAAACAAAGACATTTTCTGAGTTCTGGAGTCTGAAATTAAGGTTTCCAGATAATTAAAAAAAATTTAACCCAGGAGTGCTCTGCCACAGAGCTATATCCAGAACCCTTTTATTTATCTATTTATTTATTTATTTTTATTTTTATTTTGAGACAGGGTTTCACTAAATTGCCCAGGCTAGCCAACCTTGTGATCTTCCTGACTCAGCCTCCTGAGTAGCTAGGATTACAGTCATGCACCACTGTGCCCACTGATAATTACTTTTTAAAGGAAACATTTAGGCAGGATCCTATATTCTGGGAGAGCAACCTTTCCCAACTTGGTTGGTATTCTGTACAGAAACCGAACCTGTTTCTAGAACATGATAGTAGTCCCACAACCATCCCATAGGTTGTCATCTCCTCAACTATTAGAAGAACTCTTTGGGGGCATCTTTCCCAATTCTAACCCTTTGTTTGCCCAGGGCCTCTCCAGTGCTTCCAGATACACCACTTTTTCCCCAGATGGCTTTAACTATAGGGCAAAATGTCAGTAGAATTTTCTGTGGTGAAATATGAAGCATGTGAACTGGAGCACACAATTTGGTAAAAAACTGTCTTGCATCAGTCCTGTGTGAGAAGCCCGTTTCCCTTAGATGGCAGTAACTTGACCATCCAACTCTATGGGAAAGTTACTTGGCTTGCGAGGACTTGCAATAATCATTGCAAAACTACATTGCCTTCAATCTATCAAAGTTGCTGTTTCATGGGTGCCTACTGCAGAAGTGCCAGCAATTCTGAGAAGATAGGTCATTCCTCAGACAAAACTCTTGGCCTGCTTGCAGTTGCTCAATGGCTGTTTGGTTTCCCAAGCAGGAGTTGGAGATGTTTGGCTGGATGTGTATAAGTTGCCCAAGGAGTCTTGGCTCAAGGAAGTGGAGCATCCTCAAGTCACTTCAAATGCAAAGAAAAAAGCCAGACAGACGCAACTGGTAGGGAACATCTTTGTTTTCAACCAGTATGTCTCTTCCCAGCCTGGACTCACGTCTAGCCTTAGAATTTCAAGATGAACAAGGCCTCTGACGGCTATAAAATACAACAGGAAGAGTGTCTACGTCTCCCCAATGTATTTGTTTTGGATGAAATAAAATATTAAAAGGTAGAGATGGATTTAGTAGTGGGAGCTCAGTATCTCTCATGCACTGAGACTCCACCCAGATATTTCTCTGGAAGGAGGATCTTTTGTTCTGTTTTCTGCCCCACTGGTAATCTTTTTCCTTCCTGGGCTGAAATAATCCTTTCATGCCTTGAAATTCCAGTAAATTTCTCAGACTACGTATAATTGGGGTGTTCTCAATAAATAGAAATATGTATATTCTCTTCCAAATTAGGAACGCTACCATTTCAGTTTAATTATATGATGCCTGAGACTTGTCCTTCATCTTTTTAAAAATATTTATTTATTTTTTAGTTTTAGGTGGACAAAATATCCTTATTTTGTTTTTATGTGGTGCTGAGAATCGAACCCGGTGCCTCACGCATGCTAAGCGAACACACTACCACTTGAGCCACATCCCCAGCACCTGTCCTGCATCTTTTTTTTTCTTTTTCCTTTTCTTTTTTTGTACCAGGGATTGAACTCAGGGGCACTTGACCCCTGAGCCACATCCCCAGCCCTATTTTGTATTTTATTTAGAGACAGGATCTCACTGACTTGCTTAATGCCTGAGGCTGGCTTTGAACTAGGCATGTTAGACAAGCATTCCACAACTAAGTTTTTTTAACTTTTTAAAATTTTATTTTGAGTCTCACTAAGTTCCTAAGACTGACCTCCAACTTGCAATCCTCCTGCCTTGGCTGTCAAGTCTCTGGGATTCCAGGCACATGCCACCATGCCTGTTCCCAATTACATTCTGAGATCCTACAGAAGAGGGATCATGTTTTAAAATCCTGCAGGTCAGAGGATCACCCATACATTGGTCCTCCATGTCTATAGCATGAATTCAGTTCTCACGAAAGGAAATGGTGTAGGGGGAGCGGGCATCTCAGGAGATTACAGGGGAAGGGGAAAATATATCAAATGCATTTTGAATTAATTTTTCATTTTCTCCTCAGAACTCTGTCGATCCCACTCCTATAGATAACTTAGAAATGGTAAGAAACTTTAAAGAAAATCTCCAAAGAGATTTAAATTATATTTTAAAGATTCTTATTTTTACTTGAAACATACTTTAAATATCAAATTACTGGTAAATGTCCCACCAGGACACTGTTTACAGATTCTCTGTGACTTCATCTTGTGTCTCATATCCATTGAAGATGACCTCCTGTCCTTGAGTAAAGGGAGTTTAAATTTCAGGGCCCCTCACATTGACTTCTTCCAAGAGGCTGGAAGGGGCCCTAGCAATGTATTCACATGGTCTTGTATTTTTGTAAAATTGGCAAAAATAACATATTTTAACTACAATCACTTAAGATCATTGTTAGCTTTTCACTCTAACTTCCCTCTGCTACAGTCCCCCATCTTGGGTGCTTTGAGTGTCGCCTTGGACATTTTGTTTTCTTTTTCTTAAAGAGGACCCATAAAACCTGGATTTGCCCCTCACAAAAACAACAGCCTAATCCACCAAGACAAATAACTCGGGAGTTTCACCTTTGTTTTAGAATACCCTGGAGGATGGTGCAGCTTCCCTGAAGCACCCCACTCTCCATCTGATGGACCATGCCATCTTCTTAGCCCTTGACAACTAGGGATCTCAGTAGAGTAGTGGCAACTCCTGAAGTGAAAGTCTTCAGTCAGCGCCCTTGTTTTGTTTCCTTTTTAAGTTACATTATATTTCAAACTATACAAATAATATATGACTACGTCACTCTTGGAAAAGTCAAGTCATTCAAATAAATGAACCTCTCCAGAGGTAACTGCCATATTAGATCTGTTACTGAAAACTCGGTCCTTGTCCCCACTGCCAATCCCAAAATGACAAAGTTCTGAGAAAAAAGAAAAAGAAGTTTACTGCTTTACTACCAAGGGAGAAACACAGGGGACTCCTGTCCCAGAAGCTGTGATTCTAACTCCTAGGGGGTGGACTTTTAAGGATTCCACGGCCACACTCCAGCTGCGCCCTGTCGTTATTCACAGGTAGCCTTTCTTAGGTCCACGGGTGCCAGCTCCTAAGTCGGGGCTCTTCATTCCTGTGGCCTGTGAATGGAAGGACAGGTAACAACCTGGGATGGGAAGAAGTTAATCTTGCTTCCCCTAAGGATAGGAAGCGGGTGAGGAGAAGAGAAAGGGGAAAATGTCCATTTTAAAATAATCCAGAGTGGCAGAGCAGCGAGGGTTATGTTCAAAGTGTGAAGCGGACCCCTGTTCCAGCTTGGTGTGTGTTTTCTAGATCTTTAGTGTGTATTTATATTTTTATACTTGTTTATTTCGAAAAAGTATAGTTATGTCTTATGCGATTTTTTTCTAAATAAGGGCCATTGAATTACATAAGTTTTTTCTTACAAACTTGTATTTTTTGTCATTGATTTATTAGTATAGTTTTGCATGTCAATAAACTTTATTACAGATGTACTGTAGCTTATATGGCTACTAGTCTATTGATGATATTGAGGTTGTCCCCAATTTAAGGCTCTTAAACAAAGCCATGCAAATCTTCATATATTCTTCTTTATATACCTGAGTGAGGGCCTCTCAAAGGTATGTGTATTTTTAGTTTTTATATAGATATTAAGAAATAGTCATACAAAAATGGCCTGACAATTTACTTTTAATCAATATTTTCCCACAGCTTCGGTGAACTTGATATTATCAATTAATTTGTTTTACTGTAAACTAGTGGGATGAAATGGCCTCTCATTTTAATTTTCATTAATTCCTTCATATTTTTATCGGACATAGAGGTTTTCTCTTTTGTGAATTGCTTGTAGGTGTCCTTTGCTCAATTACATTTTTTCTAATCTGTAACTTCCCTTTTTACTTTATTTGTATGCTCTTTGTTATAAAGAAGTTTTAAATTTAACATAGTTGAAACATTAAATTTATTCTTCATGGCTTTTGCACTTAAGAAAGCTTTTCCTGTTAGAAATAAGTTATCTTGGGTTTTCTTCTAATACTTTTAGAGTTTTGCTTTTGACATTTATGCTTCATATGGGAGGTTGTTTTGGTGGTTGTTTGTTTGTTTGTTTTGGTATCAGGGATTGAACCTGGAGTGCTTAACCACTGGGCAACATCCCCAACCCTTTTAAAAAATATTTTATTTTGAGACAGGTTCTCGCTAAGTTGCTTAGTTCTTGCTAAATTGCTAAATCTTGCTTTGAATTTTTGATACTCCTGCCTCAGCCTCCCGAGTCACTGGGATTACATATGTGCACCTCTATGCCTAGAAACTTCCAGAGATAACTGGGGTTGCTATTTTCTTGTATATTAGGAATTTTTCAGTATAAATCAGGTGATTAGTAGACTGAATGAGGCTCTTTGTTTTTTGAGATGGGGTCTCGTTTTTTACCCAGGGTGGTCTTTGAACTCAAGTGTTCCGCCTGCCTTAGCCTCCCAAGTAGCCTCACTGCACCAGCCTAGCTTTTTTGGGTCTGCTAAATCATTTCGCCACCTCCTTTCCAATTTTTTACATTTTGTTGCTTTTGTGACTGCCCCAGCAGCACCCACACTAACCTTAGGCCCAGCGCGGCAGGTCTCTTTACTGAACTTTGTTGTAAATTCTAATGGTTTGCTGATTTCAATTTGCTAAAATTTGATAAATTTTGCACCTGTCTTCATGAGAGACAATCTGTAGTTTTGTTTTCCTGTAACATCTTTGGCTGTGGTCATCAGGGTTATGCTGGCCTGATGTAATAAGCTCAGGAATGCTCTGCATCTTTTATTTCCTGAAGAATTGATGTAGAATTGACATTATTTCCTCCTAAAAATTTTTAAAAATATTTTTAGCGGTAAATGTATCTTTCTTATTTTGTTTATTTATTTATATGCAGTACTGAGGATCGAACCCAGTGCCTCACACATGCTAGGGAAGTGCTCTACCACTGAGCCACAACTCCAGCCCCCCTAAAATGTTTGATAGAATTTACTAAAGAAGCCCTCTGGTCCTGCGTTGTTGTTTGTGGAACTACACATTCAATTTATTTAATAGATAAAGGCTCTTCTAGTTACCTACTTCTTTTTTTCCTGTAACAGGAAAAAGAACACAGGAAATTTATTACATGTCTAAGACATGAGAAGCTTTTTAATAATTTCTATTGAGATAATTAAAGCTTTTTGAAGCTCTTATATTTTGTGTATATCAAGGAATTTGTTCACTTTTAATTTTGTTGTCAAATTTATTGGCATAACGTGGTTCATTACTCTTTCACTGTTTCTAAAACCTGTTGTGGTATCAGATACTCATTCCAGATTCTGGGAATTGGTGTCTTATCTTTCTTTCTTAGTCAGCTTGGCAAGAAGTTTGCCAATTCTATTAATCTTTTCAAAGAGCAAACTTTTGGTTTCATAAACTTTTCTCTATTGTTCTTCTGTGTTCTATCTCACTGATTTCCAATTTTATTTTTATTATTTTCTTCATTCTGTTTAGGTTTTTTTTTTTTAGCTTGTTTTCTAGCTTCTTCAGAAAGAAACCTAGATCATCGATTTGAGATGTTTCTTCTTTTCTTGCATTTGCTGCTATAAACCTATATATGTACAGCCAGCTTTCACATCTGAAGATTCAACCAATGTCAGATCAAACATGTTTTAAAAATGTTGAGTCTGTACTGGATTTTTTTCTTGTCATATTCCCTGAACAGCTACTTATATAGTATTTATATTATATTAGGCATATAAATATAATAGTATTTATTATTAGGTATTATGTAGAGACAATTTAAAGTACACCGAGGGATATACACAGATTATATGCAAATTCAATGCCATTTTACATTTAGGACTTAAGCTAATCACAGATTTTGGTATCCAAGGGTTCTGGAGCCAATCCTTCATGGATACCATGGGATGACTGAGGGCTGGGGTTGTGGCTCAATGGTAGAGTGCTCGCCTAGCACATGCGAGGCCCTGGGTTCAATCCTCAGCACCATGTACAAATAAATAAATGAAATAAAGATATTGTGTCCAACTACAACTTAAAAATAAATATTTTTAGAAAAGGGATGACTGAACTGCTTTAGCTGCATTCTTTAAATATTGATATGTTTTAATTTTCATTTAATTCAAAATACTTTCTAATTTGCTTTTTTCACCTTTAACCAATGCATTACTTAGTGTATATTTATTAGCTATATTATAGATATCTTTCTTTTATTGGTTTCTAATTTATTCCATTGTGATCAGAGAACATATTTTGTGTAATTTAAATTCTTTATATATATATATATATATATATATATATATATAGATATAGATATAGATATAGATATAGATATAGATATATATAGTATTTGGACACAATACCTTTATTTATTTATTTTTAAAATATTTTTTAGTTGTTGATGAACCTTTATTTTATTTATTTGTATGTGGTGCTGAGAATCGAACCCAGTGCGTCACACTTGCTAGGCAAGTGCACTACCACTGAGCCACATCCCCAGCCCCTATACCTTTATTTTTATTTATTTATTTTTATGTGGTGCTGAGGATCAAACCCAGCACCTCACAGATGCTAGGTGAGTGCTCTATCGCTGAGCCACAACCCCAACCCCAAGTTTAATGAGACTTGTTTTATGTCTAGTATATGATTTATCTTGGTAAGTGTACTTGAAAAGAATGTGTTTTCTGCTGTTATTGGTCAAGTTATTCAAGTCTTCTGTGTCTTTTTTGTATTCTTACTGACTTTCTACTTATTCTCTCAGTTATTAAAAGGGGAATCTCTAAGATTGTATGTTTATTTCTTCTTTTACTCTTCTTTAAAAAAATATTATTATTTTTTAGTTGTAGGTGGACACAATGCCTTTATTTTTATTTATTTATTTTTATGTGGTGCTGAGGATCGAACCCAGTGCCTCACCTGCTCTAGGGAAGCGCTCTGCCACTGAGCCACAACCCCAGCCCTTCTTCTTTCACTCTTATGAGTTTTATTTCATGTATTTTGAAGCTATTATTAGATGTATAATCTTATGGAATGTTATATTTTCCAATGAATGGACCATTTTATCATTACTCACTGACCCTTTGGTTCCTGGTAATATTCTTTGTTCTGAATGAAATCTTCTAAGTCAGATACTAATATAGCCTCCAGCCTTCTTTTGATTAGTTTTAGTAAGATATACCGTTTGAAAATACTTTTGGGGCTAAGGTTGTACCTCAGTGGTAGAGTACTTGCCTCACATGTATGAGGCACTGGGTTCCATCCTCAGCACCACATAAAAATAAATAAACAAAATAAAGGTATTGTGTCTATCTACAACTAAAAAAAATTTTTTTAAATACTTGTAACACATTTACTACTTCCTTTATTTTGGTGGTGGGTACCTGGGATTGAACTCAGGGGCATTCAACCACTGAGCACATCCTCATCCCTATTTTGTATTTAAAGACAGGATCTCACTGAGTTGCCTAGCACCTCACTTTTGGTGAGGTTGGCTTTGAACTTCAGATCCTCCTGATTCAGCCTCCAGAACTGCTAGGATTATGGCTGTGTGCCACTGTGCCTGCCTACTTACTTGCTCTTTTTTTTTTTTTTTTTGGTACTGGGGATTGAACCCAGAGGTGCTTAACCAGTGAGCCACATCCCCAGTCTTTTAATTTTTTAAATTTGTTCTTATGGTTGTTGTGTATTCATCTATGAACACAGGAAAATTACATCTGATTCATTCTACTGTCTGTCCTATTTCTATCCCCGCCTCCCTTCCCTTCATTCCCCTTTGTCTAATCCAATGAACTTCTATTCTCCCTGCCCCCCTTATCATGTTAGCATCCTCTTAGCAGAGAGAACATTTGGCTTTTAGTTTTGGGGTTGGTGTATTCCACTTAGCATAATACACTACAGTTCCATCCATTTACCAGCAAATGCCATAATTTCATTCTTCTTTATGGCTGAGTAATATTCCATTGTGTTTATGTACCATATTTTCTTTATCCATTCATCTGTTTAAAGGCACCTAGATTGGTTCCATAGTTTAGTTATTGTGAACTGAGCTGCTATAAACATTGATGTGGTCGCATCATTATAGTATGCTGATTTTAAATCTTTTGGGTATATGCCCAGGAGTGGGATAACTGGGTGAAATGGTAGTTCCATTTCAAGGTTTCTGAGAAATCTCCATACTGCTTTCCAGAGGAGATGCATCAATTTGCAGTCCCACCAGCAACGTATGAATGTGCTTTTTCCCCCATATCCTTGCCAACATTTATTGTTATTTATATTCTTGATAATTGCCCTCAGTCCTTTTTATATTCATTTTGAGACAGGGTCTTGCTAAGTTGCTTAGGGCCTCACTAAGCTGCTGAGACTGACTTTGAACTTGCAATCCTGCTACCTCAGCTTCCCTAGCTGCTGGGATTATAGGCATGTGCTACAGTACCCGGCCACATTTACTTTTTTACATTTCAACTGAATTTCTTTTTGATAGCATAGAGTTGGTTTGTATTTTTTAATACAATCTGGTAATCTCTGCCTTTTCATTTCGGATATTTAGACCATGTGCATTGAATATAATTATTGATATGTTGGAGTTTAAATCTACTATTTTGCTATTTACTTTCTATTTGTTCCATCTGTTCTTTCTTTTCCATTTCTTTCTGCCTTCTTAAGAATGAGAGTTTTTAATGATTTCATATTGTCTCCTTTGTTGGCTTACTGACGGATCCTTTTCCTTGTTTTAGGATATGAACATTTATTTTAGAGGTGATATTAAGTTGAGTTTTCCAGTTCCCATAATGAAGATCAAACCACCTAAACCTATAACAGGTAATTATAGTTCAGTTAATACTTTCTTTCTTTCCTTTTGCTATTGATTTCTCCATTTTCCCACTCCTTGGTCTGTCTCCACATTTCCTTTTTTTCCCCCTATTTATTAGCAGTCTAATTAAATGCATAGTTCTAAAGAGGACATTTAAAAACTCTTATGAACTTATGCTCTGGGGCCTAAAAACAAACTATCAATCCATCTATATATGTTACAAAGATATAGTAACAGAATTGGAAGGTGAGGTGAGACATTGTTTCTAGTTGCTAGGTGGAATTTGTCAGTTCCTACATGCCTGTATTAATTCATTTAGTTGATTTAATTGTTGGTTGGAGTTCGTTATTCCTGCATCCCTGTATTAATGCATTGATCAGTATTTACTGAGTGCCCATAGTGCATCAGACATGAACATGAGGAGGTCACATCTCCTGCACTCTAGAGGCTGATTGTCCACCAAGGGAGAAGTACAGCAATTAGGAACATGTAGGCCCATGAAAACACAGAGGAAGGAGAGGCTAACTCTGCCTAGAGAGTAAACAAAGGGGCATTTGAGCAAGGTTTTGAGGATTAAGTGGGCATTGGTCAAGAGGAGCAGAGGGGATAAGCATCTTAGGCAGAGAATACAGAGTGTTATCTTCTCAGGATCTCACAAGCATGATCACTGGAGGTGTGGGGGGGTGTGGCTCAGTGATAGAGCACTTGCCTAGCATGCATGAAATCCTGGATCCCCTCCCTAGCACCTCTCCACATCCAAATTTACTACAGCATTATTTGGAGAGCAGCAGATTGGTTAGATAAAATCTGGCACATTCATAAAAAGGAACATTTTACAAGGAATAAGAAACAAAGATAGAAGTGCAAAGGGCCAAGAATAGCCAATTCACTTTTATTAAGAAAAGGTAAGTGAATAATAAAAATATAAATGAAATATAAAACTAGTGATAGGTAAAGATGATAGACATAGAAGCTGGGGTGAAGCTCAGTGGTAGAGCACTTGCCTAGCAAGTAGGAAGCCCTGGGTTCAATCCCTGACACTGGCAAAAAGTGAAAAAGAAAAAAAAAGAAATAGTGAACATAAAAATGGATGAACAAAACAGGGACGATAAACGTAAACATAAGGGGAATTTAGGGATTCAGAGTGAAGACTGGATCTCAAAAGAGAAATGCCCATGAATCATTGGTATGCACAGCAAACAACCCAGCCTGTGTTCCTGTGCTCACCACCTTGCCTGAAAGGCATCTTGATGAAATGCAACAAGATTGCATCTCATCAGACCAGAACATAAATGAATGGAGCCTTGCATAAATGAACACTTGAGGCTAGGTGGACACACTACTGAGATGTGGAGAAAGAGTGGTCATTTCAATAAACAATGTCACCGCCCCCTGTTCCAGTTGTCCATATGGAGATAAAAACTTGTCTCTCCAGAGGCAGAAGAAATCTTCCAAGTCCTTGACTCCATCACAGAAAAGAATGTAAGGATGAGTCAGATGGTAGAGAAAGAAAGGAAGAGCTTTATTGGAAAGCAAAATGTATACACTCAAGAAAGAGGGAGTGTGGACAGATCTCAGAATGAGTCACTTTGCCTTACTCTGGCAAAAGACAGTATCTAGGAATAGTAATGGACTGGAGGTAGAGTAGGGACAGGGTCTTACAACTTCTCTCCAGCTTTCCTTGCACTTGTACATTGCCCTCAAATGTTCTGATCATGCTTCTTCATATATTGCGTGTCTCATTAGCATCTTAAATCTCCACCCAGAGTTGTGTTTTTACTATTATAATGAGGCTAGGGTCATTTCTCAGTCACTCTCCCTAAAGGAGTGGCCCCTCCAGATGCCTGTGTTACCTTGTAATTTAGTTGCATTTCATCAAGGTGAGTCTCAGGCAAGATGGTAGCACAAGGACATGGGCTGAGTGGTTTGTTGTGCATACCAATGGTTTATGGACATTTCTCTTTTAAGATTCAGTCTTCTCTCTGTATCCCTAAATTCCCTTCTCAGTGCCAAATAAGAAATGACCAACTGTCTATCAGAAAAACTGTACCATGTTCATTCAACATAATACAATACAGCAATGCAAATGCTGTTACACAAACGTGAATACATTTCACAAACGATAGAGAGAAAAAGAGAGCAGATAGTGTTAATACAATATGGCTCTCCTTATGTACAGTTCAAAATCAGGCAAAACAAAGATATAGCATTTAGGATGTGTGTTTATTTATTTTTTTTTTAAAGAGAGTGAGAGGAGAGAGAGAGAGAGAGAGAATTTTTTAATATTTATTTTTCAGTTCTCGGCGGACACAACATCTTTGTTGGTATGTGGTGCTGAGGATCGAACCCGGGCCGCACGCATACCAGGCGAGCGCGCTACCGCTTGAGCCACATCCCCAGCCCAGGATGTGTGTTTAGATAGGTAAAGTATAAATAAGTGCAATGAAGTGGCTACTTAAAAGTCAGGAGAGCGCTTGCCACTTTTCCTGGGGATTGTGATTGGAAAAGGGCCCTGTGAAGCTTCTAGGCTTCTGGTGATATTCTTTTTCTTAACCTGAGTAGGAAGTTCCGGGTGTTTGCTTTAGAATAATTTACTAGGATGTGTATTGTCATGCTCTTTGCTGATTGTGTGTTACATTTCACAATAAGAAAAAGGCTTGGGGCTGGAGTGGTGGCTCAGTGGTAGAGTGCACACCTGGCATGCATGAGGCACTGGGTTCGATCCTCGGCACCACATAAAAACAAACTAATGTATCCACCTAAAACTAAAGATAAATAAATAAATATTTTTTAAAAAAGAAAAAGGCTTAATGAATAAAAATAAGCAACAGTGAGAAGAATCTATACTACTAATGTGAACTGGTCTCCAAGTTTCTGTGTTAAGTGAAAATACAGAAGGTTTGGGCATAACAACAATTTCCAAACTTTGGCTCTATCAGACTCAATTGGAAGACCCAGTAAACCCAGATTGCGGGTCTTGTCAGAGTTTCTCTTCCAATAGTATCAGCATTTCTATTCCTGTCCCAGGTGACTCTGACCCTGGGGGGTCTGATATCACCCTTTGAGAACTACTCCAGTATAATATGATACTGGGTGTTTATAAAACCTCAGAAAGTTATGGAAGAAACTGAAGATAATTGTCTCTGGGGAAGCAGCCTGGGGCACTGTGAAACTCCTGGGGCAACTCAAGGGACCCAGGCAATTTCCAAAGAGAACTGAATGCTGAAACTCAAGGTTTAGACCCACAGAATAAATCACCCAGTGTTACTGTGAAATAGGAACCATTGAAAAAGAAGGAAATTAAAGGTTATTGGGAAATGAAATGGTGGAAAAAAATGATTGACAGAGAAAGGAGACTTTTTCAATGAAGGTAATTGGATAAACATCAGCATAGGAAGAAGCCGAGTCAAATGAATGATGTGGGTCTTCAGCATCGACTGGAAAGCCATGGTCACTGGCAGGTTTAGGCCCAGCTTAGCTGGGGAGATGGTGACAGTGATCTAAAGTGATCTAGCAGCACTGTGAACATTTCCCTGGCTTCTCGGGAGACACTCTATAATCCAGAAGTGGTGAGAAACATGGTCATAGGAGACACAGGAGGGAGAGCACTGCTTTCTGCCTGGGCTCTGTGACAGGTGGAGCAGGGGCGAGGCTCACAGAGACTGAACTCCTGGGCTCACAGACCCGCTGCAGAGCAAGATTTCCAAGGATGGGGCTTCTTCAGGAAAGCGGGAAGCATAGAAAAAGTTGGGGGAGATTAGGAAGAGGAAGTCAGGTGATTTGACTAATTCTGGAATTTTTTCAACCCAAGGCACAACATTTAAAAGTCCTCTGGAAGTCTTTGCAAAGGTAGAAGACTGCTATGGGCTGGGTTCTGGGCAGAATCACTTCATCAAGGAGAGTCAGTGGGAACACCAAGCAGAGATCTTCTACACCTCCTACAGGAAGTTCCTGGATGGGGAATGGGAGGAGGAGCCACTCAGGTAAGCCCTGAGGAGCCGCCTGCTCCCCAGTTAGCCCCTGGAGCTTCAGCTGTCTCGGTTCACAGGGACCAATCCAAGGACCCAACTAAACCCAAATAAGCTCTTTTTGGTTTGGAGAAATGTAGGGAACTTCAGCAGATTTTTTTGAAATGTTGAATGGAGATTGCTTTAACTTAATGAGAACAAAGGCAGATAGCATGGATTTAAAAGGAGCAATAGCAAGGAGCATAGCTCAGTGGTAGAGCCTTTTCCTACTAGAATGTGCGAGAGGCCCTAGATTCCATCCCTAGCACTACCAGTGGGGGGGCAGGGGAAGGAAAAAAAAAGAATATATACCTACAGAGATGAGAAATAAGTTTTAAGTTCTATGTATGACTCCTCTTTAAATTTTTTTTCCTGATTTTTCTAAAGAAAAACACTGAAGATTCTAAAGATGGAAATAAAAGTCACCACTGTTAACATTTTTTTTTCATATCTTTCCTGCCTTTCTAAATGTAATGTAGTTTAGGTATATAGTTGTTTAATTATCACAATACATGTAATGGGTACACCTGTCAGCAGTTTGACCTCATTAACTCCATGTTGTATGGGTAAAAACTGAGCCAAGGTATCTGAAGTAGCTATAGTGGGGCTGGTTTTAGGGACAAGCCCTCTTCACAGCTGCTGTGAGTCTCATCTTGCTGTCAAGTAGACTCAGATTTCCTCACTTCAGGACATAAAGTCTGAGGACCACACCCTAATGGCAGCTACCTGGCTGCTCTCTGTGACAGACACGGAACCCTGGCCAGGTTCATCGGTGCGCTGCAGCCACTCCTACTGCCTAGGGAGACATTTAGGGGTTTTGCAGACAGCTGTTAAAATGCTGTAACTTGATGGGAATGTCTATACCATGAAAATCTGCAAACCTTATAAATCAGGCCCTTTTTTAAAAAGACTCAGTTTATCAGAACACCTGTGGCTGTTTTGCACCCAGGATAAGAGAGCATTTGTGCAGATCACCCAAGACTGCTCTTTAAAGGATCTTTCTGGACAACAGAGGGCTCACCAAAGGAGAGCCTGCTCTAGTGGGAGCTGCCCAACACCATACTGGTCTGGGGGTGATCCACGGTTCTACCTGTTCTCACCCTCCTCCAAGGTCTACACATCCTCCCAGGACCAGCATCTAGTCCATGATTGGCTTGTGCCCTTGGGGAGGTTCATGTGTGCATGTCTGGTCATGTCAGGACTCTGCCATCCTCCTTGCCGAGGAGCCTGCGTGTCTCTGACTCGGTCTCTCTTTCCCAGTTCGGCCACATTCCATTTCCTTCTTCCCAGCTGCCTCACTGCAATGCCAGCAGAAGTCAGGAGCCCCTCAGGTAGGTGAGCAGGTGGTTGCCCTGGCAAGGAGTCACTGCAGGGAAATCCCTCAATAAGCACTAGGGGTGTTCCACACGCCAACCTTTTATGGTAAGAGGGAATGAAGGCGGAAATTGGCTTGACAACTGGAGCCTAACAGTTCCTGTTTGGATCTGTAGCTCCTCAGCCCAGATTCTCTGATCAGGAGGCCAGTACAGCCTTCAGGGAGTGACTGCCAGAGCTGAGGATGTGGGCACATGTTTGCTGGACTGTTTCAGTTGTGAATTCACCTAGAAGCAAGCGGACATCAGTTTTATAGAAGATGTGCAAACAGCTCAGGGGCATTTAAAATGTCCTTCTTGCCCAGGAAGGCGAGTGGACCCTAGAAACAGCCCCCCTGGTGCTCAGCCCTTCTGACTCAGGAAACTCACCCCTCTGACATTTGCTGCCCAATAGAAAAAAACCACTTCAGACTTCCAACCAGCTTCCTCTTGAGCAGACACCTTCCATGTGAGCAGAAGGCCACCAGGCTTCTTATGTGATACCTCTTTCTTCTCTTCGTTCCCAGGAGTAGCCTGCATCCTTGGCATACACTGGACCAGACATCACAACTTCTTCCTCTATTCACTCAACCGAACTCTGAAGGATAAAGCTGGTACTTTACCGTGTGACAGGAGTGGCCTAAGCTCAGGGCCCTGAGGACACCTCCTTCTCCAGCTTAGCTGGGTGTGAGGTCCATACATCATTGTTGCTTTAGGGAGCCAGAGCTATGGTGTGACCTCAGGGGTCTGTCCCTAAACTGTCATGTTTCTTCAAGATGACAGGACAAGAGGGACAAAGCCCAGAGGCAGGTCCATAGAGAAAGTGATACTGAAATCTAAGTCTTTTCCCTGATTCCAATCCAATAATGAGGACAGGGTTTTGAGAAAAAGGAAAAAGAGGTTTTACTGATTTGCTAGCAATTGAGAAACATAGTAGACTCAGGTCTCAGGCTTTGATTCTAAATGTCACAGGGAACAGAGGGCTTTAAAAGGGGGAACAACAACTGGGCACAGAGGTACATACCCGTAATCCCAGCAACTCAAGAGATTGAGGCAGGAGGATGACCAAGGCCAGCCCTGGCAACTTAGAAAGACCCTGTCTTAAAATGAAAATAAAAAGGACTGTGGATGTAAATCAGTGGTAGAGTACCCCCTGGGTTCAATCCTCACCACCATAGGAAAAAAAGGTGGCGTGTATACCAAGTAGCATTGTTGGAAGATGCATCCTTGAGAGAGCTGTTGTTTCTGTTTACAGATCCAGAGTTTCTTTATTCTTATGGTCAGGGGTGGAAGGTCAGATAACTTGACTTAGGATAGGAAGAATGCTAATTTTACTTCCCCCACTGTTAGGGAGGGGACAGGGGAGAAAAGGAAAGGGAAAAAAAGTCAATTTAGAAATAAGCAACCAGGGGTCAAGCAGCAGCAAGGCTTGTATTTAAAGCATGAAATGGATCCTTGTTACATGAAAGGGACCCCTGTTACAGAAGGAAGGTGGGCTCAGATCATCTCTGCCCAGCTGTCTGAAAACTGTGTAGTCCTGAGCCAGTCACTTCATACCCCAAATCAGTTTTCTCACCTGAAATACAGAGCTAATTCATTACACCATCACAATCTACTACATGTGTGTGTTGTGTAGAACAAATTCCAGAATCTCTGTATGTGAAAGTCTTTGAAATTGAAAAGCACTAAGGAAATATGGGTGACGATTGCTGTTAGGCAAATCCACGAGGACAGTTAAGTGAGCAAGTTTGCTTTGGTAAGTGCTTGAGCTGTACACTTATGTTATACTTTCACATTGTCAAAAAAAAAAAAAAAACCCACACACATTAAAAACCCACAAAGAAGGAGTTTCTTTCCTTCTGTCACTCTCCCAGGCAGCCTGGCTTCTAATCTGTGCTTCTCTCCTGACTGGCTGTGTGACCTTGGGCAGATGACTTACTCCTCTGCCTCAGTCTTCTCATCTGTAAACTGGGGATGCTAATAGGACCTACTTCATAGAACCCTCTTGAAAATTAAATGAAACAATTCCTGTGGGGTGCCTTATACAAATTTTAGCACCTAGGAAGCCTTCATTAAACTTTAGCTGTGACTCAGTATCTTGTTCCTAGGGAAGAGTGATACTCTCTAGAGAGGAGTGAGGTGGAGTCCAGGCAGGTGCTCCTGGGGCACAGGCATTAGTCTGGGTCTCAGGTTGTCAAGGAGGGGAGATAGGCAGGGCCGGGTCTGGGGGTAGCCTGATGAATGGTCCTCCCTCTAGACCCTGAGGGTGTGTGGCCCTGTGCTGCGCCCATTGTCATCTCTCAGCTCAGCAGCTGCTCCTCCTACCTGGTGCTGGCCTGCGAGGACGGTGTGCTCACCCTGTGGGACTTGGCTGAAGGTGAGCCCCTACCATCCCCCACCTCTTTACAGACCACCTGGTGGATCTCTGGTCAGTGAGACTCCAGGAGCTCTGGACCGTATGACTGTATCTCTAAACATGTGGAGTGTTTAGCTATGAATATTTAGAAAACTTTAGATGGAACCACATTCTGATTATTCTCCAACTTGTTTTCCAATGGTCTTTATTCTAACTTGCTTTGCCACCTTGTTTCTGAGCCTCCGGACCTTCTGTTATCTGTAAGTTCATAGTTACCTTGGGCAGCTGGTCCTGCTTTCTCCTCATTCATTCCGCAAACACTTACTGAACATTATATGTGCCAGCACTTCCCATTGCTCATGTATTTACTGGGTGCATGCTCTGTGCCTGAAATTGTACCAAGCCCTGGGAGTGTGAGCTTTGCCTTTGTTATTATACTTTGTTATTACTGCTCTCTTGCTGAGGCCACCCCAGCACAGTGGGAGTCCTGCAGCCTCAGCCCTCCTCCTCCCATCTCCCAGGTTCTCAAAATAGTGAGTCTTGAGTCTTCTCTCTGTGCTATTCCACCTATGCTCCAAGCACCAGGAACTCTGATATTGGATAAAGAGACTTGTAAAGAGTCAAAGCAAGACCAGCAGCTCTTCTGAATAGGGGGCACCTTGGTGGAGTCCCAGGGTTTGGGGTCCAGCTCCAAAAGTGCAGAAATCAGTGCTGTCCATTTCCCCTAGATGGATCAGCCTCAAGGGGAGGGGCTCCCTATAACCAGACTTAACAGGGATTAGTGAAGCAGTGGTTTGCCATTTCATAAGCCCTTGACCAACAGCTTCTCATTTTTTTCTAGATATTGATAAAGTCTTGTTTGGCTACACACATGCACACCTGCTCTCTTTCTGAAACCACACCCGGCCCATCCACCTTCACATCCTGTGTTCAGTGCAGTTCAGCCCCTGGCTGGGTTGTAGCCTCCCTTCATTTTCTGCTGACTCCATGGGATTGGTTCTCCTCTTCCCCAGCTCCTTTCCATAAAGGGAAGGGCTCCCTGGAGGGGCTGTTCTTGCCTGTTGGGTGCTGGGTTTCCTGGGTTCACTGATAGAGAACGTTCATGGCTTGACTTTGCCTCACCTTCCACAAATCTCTCCTACACTTGCTGGTCACCTGACCAGTGAGTGCCTGTGGCCCTCCTGGGCCCTTTGCTGACCGACTTGTGTGGTTACTTTCTCTAGGATTCCCCCTTGGGGTCGTTGCTCTTCCTGAAGGATGTACCTGCCAAAGTCTTCACTTCCTAAAATACTTCTTGATCCACAAAGGACGGAAAATGTTTCCCGAGGGACCAGTGAAATCCCAGATGAAATGTGTGGTGCTCTGCACAGATGCTTCCCTCTATCTGGTGGAGGCCAGTGGGACCCAAGAACCTACCATCAGTATGCTTGTTGAGAGGTTGGTGGCTCTGGGACCAGACATGTGACACAATTTCATAGTGAAGATTGACAGCCTCCCCGACTAAAGTCCACTCTGTATGGTCATCACTCTACTGGTGACTGCTCAGATCAAAAGTGTCATGTGCATGTGACAAATTTGTCTAATGAATTTTTTTGATAGCATATAGGGCATCTTTCATATCCCATATGACCAAGAAAAAGCTTAGTTCTGCCAAAATAACCTTTCATCAGTTTCCCCAGGGATCTCTTTTTTAATTTTAAAAAGTATTTTATGCATGCAAATGAATCTATATGATATATGTGTGTGTGTGTGTGTGTGTGTGTGTGTGTGTATTACAAAAAAAACATTCTTTGCCCACTGAAAAGGAATCATCTCCAGTTCCATTAAGACTCCCTCTGTGCTTCTCCCTGGTCATATCCTTGCTACTCCCCACCAAAGATGATTAATTACCAATTGGTACTTAATCAGGGTTTAGTGAAGCAGTGCCAATTACCAATTGGTACTTTATCCAACCACCCCCAAATTTGATGGCTGAAGAAAACAGTCATTGTTGGCCTCTGTAGGTCAGCAATTTGGGCTGGACTCAGTCAGGCAGGTCTTCCACTGGTCTTGCCTGGAGTCTCACAGGTGCTTGCAGGTGGATGGCAGCTCAGCCTGAGGCTGGGATTTCTGGGGTGGCCTCACTCACATACCTGGTGGTTGGTGGGCTGACGGCCAGGACACCCCAGTTCTCTTCCTCATGGTCTCTCCTGCTGGATAGTCAGGCTTCCTCACATGGTAGCCCAAGGCTGCCCAGCAGCAAGAGAGCAGCCTCATGCACAAATGTTTTTCAAGCCTCTGCTTATGTTACTTGTCCCATTTGTCATAGCACATCTCCAGGCCACTCCTGTGTTCAAGCAGTAGAAAAATAGACTCTGCCTTTTGATGGCCAATTGTTTTTTTTTTTCAATCCATCATATTGTTTTTCTAAATTCATCATTCCTTTGATTTCCTTTAAGAATTAACCAGGTATGTATGATTGTGTGTCTAAACAACTTAGTGTTTAACTGTGCATGTTTAGGAAACTTATAGATGGAACCATATTGTAGGTACTCTCCAACTTGTTTTTCAATGGTCTTTATTCTAACTCGCTTTACAACATTGTTCCTGAGAGTTACACACGTTGGCTTCAGTTCTTTTATTTTCATTGTATATATACCACAATTACTTCAGCCTCCTCCTGCTAACAGAATTTGAAATTGTTCCTAGGTTTTGTATTTTTTTTTTTTTTTTGCCACCATGAACAACTTCCTCACATATTTCCTGGTGTACATGTCAAGAGGTTCCCCAGGATATGTGCCCAGGAAAGGAAAGTCAAATTTTGAAACTTTTAAAGTTGGAGAATGTCTCTTTTTTCCCCCTTACAGGCCCACAAAGCATATAGATAAAGCCATCTGTGCAGTGGCCCCAGTCCCAACCTTACCTGGCATGGTAGGTTCCTTGTGCCTTTCATTTCTCTTCTATGAATGTGTTCATTCCTCCTTCAAAACCTATCTGTTGATGGCCTACTATGTGCTAGGCACCTGGACTAGCTTTTGGATATGCAGACAAAAAAAAAAAAAAAAGATAATTCCAGACTGAGGGCGTAGCTCAGTGGGAACATATGCTTAGTATGGGCCATTGTGAGATGAAGGCCCAGCACCCCCCCAAAAAAAGACTAAGACTAACAAATAAGAGAAAGTCTCTCACTTCATGGAGCTCACGTTTAATTCAGAAGGTCAGACAAATCACCTAGCAGCTTCCCTAGAACACAAGGAAAAACTGTGATGATTTTGTAATGAACACATGGAATAGAGCAGGATTCACCTACTTGATCTGCAGAGTTTGGGAGCAGGGAGGGGAGGTGAAGACTGAGTTGGGCTGGGGCTGAGGCAGCACCATGGAGACAGGAGAGCGCTGGCAGGTCCTCGGCCTGCAGGAAGTTGAGGGGACTACAACATCAGAGCTCTGTGGGGTGTGAGGAGGGAGCAGGCTGGGGCAGGGTCCAGGGTGGAGGCACCAGCCCATGGAGTGCCCCGTGCTCCAGGCAGAAGGTACAGATGTGCCCTTCTAGGGGACGGGGCTTGAAGCATGGAGAGGTAGAGCAGGGAGCAGCATGTTCTGAGAGGGCTGGTGAGTTGGAGAGATGTGAAGAGATGGAGCTCTCATGGTGGGTTGCCTCTGACCGAGGCTGAGGACAGAGAGGTGTTTGGCTTATCCTGAGCAGAGAGCCAATTCCTAATTCCCACAGGCCCATCTGAGGGGACACAGGCCAGGAGAGAGAAGCTGTGACTCCCAGTGTGGCCCTTCAGAGGGTGAGGGCCTACAGGATTTCCAGGAGAGGCTCTGAGAGAGCTCAGGGCAAAAAATATCCATTCTGGGGCCTGAGGGTGTAGCTCAGTGGTAGAGCACTTGCTGAGCATATGTGAGGCCCTGGATTCCATCCCCAGAACAGCAAATAAAATAAAATAAAATAAAACTGTTCATTCTGTGGTCACCAGCCAACTAGTGAGTCAGTGGCGGTTGGAGCCAGGTACCAGCAGGTTCCCAAGTTACAGAGGAGGTAAATAGGGAGAGTCATTTCCCAGGGGAACTGCTATCCCTTATGGGACAAGGAAAATGAGCTCACGTTGTGACTGAGAGGGATCCCTCCAGTTTGTGGGGGTGACCTGCAAACTTGGGGAGGAGTATGAAGGAAATGAGGGCACAGCTGCCTGTGCTGAAGAGAGCCAAACACCTCCTCATGGGAACATGTCTGAGGGAGGGACAGACAGCAGAAGGTGGAGTACAGAGGGCAAGAGGCCCTCCACTGCTGTGGGAGGGAAATGCATGGCTGTAGGAGGGGATGTGGGCTCAAGAGGGGCTTTGGAAGACCTGGGTGAGTTGTCTACTCCGGGGAGAAAGAGCCCAGGCAGGAGGGACTATCTCAGATCTCAGGCCAGGAGTGTGGCTGGCTTGAGCAGGTCCCCAGGGGTGGGAGGAGAGCACCAGAGGGGCTTGGTTGAGGAGGGGGAGCTCTTCAGAAAGATGCTGGCCGGATAGAAGGAGGAGCCAAGCCAGCAGAGAAGGAGCAGCGCCCTGGATCCGACAGTGTGTGGAGGGTGGTTTGCCAAGCTTAGCCCTGAGGGGGCAGCTGCTCACACCTGCACTTCCCCTTGCAGCCTGGGGTGGACCCAGAGGCTGGGTGCTCAAGAGCTCATAGAGTACTCCACATTGTATTGTCTCACTTCAGACTCTGCTTTGTGGGGGACCGAGTCCAGTAAGAATCCCCTCACCGTCTCTTTGCTTCCCAGGTGCTGATCTTTTCCAAGAATGGCTCTGTGAACCTCATGGATGTGACCAAGGCTGAAGTCATCTGTGCCTTTGCTCCCCCCAGATCCTACCATCTGGAGGTGCCCTGGGAGCCGTTATTTGTTGTGTCTTCACACCATCCATGTTTCCTGCTCCATGGTATGGAAGGGGAATCTGCTGCCCAGATCTAGGCCCTCACTGACCCCCCAATCCTCCCCGCTGCCTCCCACTCCACCTTGGGCCAAAGGACCCTGCAGCCTGGTCTGCACAGAGTTCTCTGATCAAATGCTTCATGGTCTTTGCTCTGGACTGCTGTTCTACCAGCTCAACCAGCTCCTCTCAGCTCAATCCAGATGACCCTGCCCTTTATGAGCAGAGGGCAACACCCACCCACCCACACTGGGCCTCAGTGCCATGGAGAAAGCATGGTGTCCTTGATGCCATGGTGTTCCTGTTTCATGGCAGGGGGCTGTCCAGCTGAAACTGAAGCCACCACAGATAACTCCAGTGACCCTTGGAATTCTGTATTCTATTTCAATTTTGAGACCTATCCACTCCTGGAAAACATCTCCAAAAACTGCACCATTCCTCTGAAAGACTTGATAGATGACAAGGTGTTCTCCCGAGTGCTGCCATTGGAGGAAAGATGCCAGCATTTCCTCCAGAAGAGGTAAAGATTTCTGCATCTTATCCCTCCCGGCATCTGGGTTGTCTCTGGGTCAAGAGACAGTAGAGTTTGTTTTGTAGAAGATCCTTTCAGCTTTTAAATGAGTGCATGCTGTAATTCCAGCAACTTGGGAGGCTGAGGCAGGAGGATTGAAAGTTCAAAGCCATCCTCTTAGTGAGGCCCTCTCCAAATAAAATAAAAAGGGCTGGGGATGGAGCTTGTGGTGGAACCCCACCCCATTCAATCCCCAGTATCAAAATTAAAATAAAGAATAAAATATTTCTTCCCTGAATGAAGGTTGCTACCACATAGGCCATACTCCCCATTCATTTTAGTAGGAAAGAAGTAATTAATTCAGTTTGGTAGAAGAGGAAGACTTCTGTTGGATGTTTTCTTTCTGTCATGACCATCTTTTTATTTTCTCAATTAATTTATTGAGGGGCTGCGGATTGAACCCAGGGCCTCATACTTACCAAGCAACCACTCTGCCTCCAAACTATATCCACAGCCCTAAATTCCTTTTTTTTTTTTAAAGCACATTTGCAGGGCTGGGGTTGTGGCTCAAGTGATAGAGTGCTTGCCTCACATGCATGAGGCACTGGGTTCGATCCTCAGCACCACAAAAACATAAAGATATTGTATCCACCTAATACTAAAAAATAAATATATTTTTTAAAAAAGGCACATCATTAAGTTGGGTTGATGAACTATGACCCCATGGGCCAGATCCAGCCCACTGTTGGTTTTAAAAATAAAGGATTGGGCTGGGGATGTGGCTCAAGCGGTAGTGTGCTCACCTGGCATGCATGCGGCCTGGGTTCGATCCTCAGCACCACATACAAATAAAGATGTTGTATCCGCCAAAAACTAAAAAATAAATATTAAAAAATTCTCTCTCTCTCTCTCAAAAAAAAAAAAAAAATAAAGGGTTTTGTTGGTGTTTGCAGTGCTGGGGATTAAAGCTTATGCATGCTAGGCAAATCTCTAACATGGAGACACAGTCCCAGCCCCTTCTAAAAACAGTTGTATTTGGACACAGTCATGTCCATTTGTTCACAAGGTATCTATGGCTGCTGTGTGCTACAACCGCAGAGCTGAATAGTTATGGTGGAAACATGCACCCACCAAAAGCCTTAAACTATTCAGTGTTTGCCAGCCACTTCCATTATCTAGATAAAAGTTAATGTATGAATTTCTCCTCTTCCTCTTCCACTTCCCACTCTTCCCAGTTCTTGGTTTGCTTTCCTTTTTGCTCTGAAAACACAATGAACTGTACTCAGTCCACCCTGGAAAAACAGAACTCTCTTCTAATCCATCTCAATAAGTTTCTGGGGATTTTCAAGTCATTGGTGGTTCCCACCAGTATCCAACCGCTCAATTTTGGTGGAATGGGGTCATCAGTGGCTATGGATCCTCATCCCAGGCCTGGCGCTTCAGAGCTGGGTGACTGGACTGGCAGGTCAGTTCCCTTCCGGAGCCTCCATGACCTTACGTAACACCTTTGAGCTTTGGGGATCTCTTCAGGATCATTTCTCCTCTCTTTTTAGACTCCATGTTTGGAGCCAAACGGACCTGGGTTTGAATTCTGACTCTACCACTCACTAACTATAAGGCCTTGGGTCAGTTAACCTCTGAGAGTCTCAGTTTTCTTATTCATTCAAACACATGTATGGTGACAGGCTGTGTCCTGGATATTTTGATTATGCCTAATTTTTAGGGTTTGTAGTATTAAGTGAGACAGTACATGTAAAGTGGAAGACACACGGTGATTCCTCTGTAAATGGTGGGCACGATGAGCATGTGTCTGGTTCCTGTTAATGCAAAATGCCTGGGGGAATTCCAAATGTCACCACTAGGTGGCAGCACCACTCTGCTTTCATCCCTTACCTGCCATCTTTTTTTCCTTCTTTCCCTTCCTTCCTTGTCGTGTGGGGGATCAAACCCAGAGCCCTGAGTCCTCTACCTGCTACATTTATTGTTCTTGCTGTGTTGTGCTGGGTTGCTCTAGTGACTCTCAGTATCTCATGGAGGAAAGCATGCCCATTCATTAAGAGGGAGGGAAAGGGACAATGAACAAGGGGACTGTTGACTCTGCCCCAATTAAAGATGGACAGTAATGCTCAGCTCTTCCTTGTATGGAGGTCTCTTATCGTGACCCTTGATGACTAGGGCATGTAAGCAATCCCACCAAGAGTTTAGGAGGAAGTATCATGATGTCTACTACTTTCAAATGTCGCAGCAAAATATTTACAGAGAGAGACAGAAAGAAAGTGAAATTTTTAACAGATGGTGAAATCTAGAAAAATATTTATTGGGGCGGGGAGAGAGGTAAATCATTAACAGCGGTGAATCTAGGGGAAAGTTCTTTGCAACTTCTCTACAGGGTTGAAAAATTTCAAAATAAAAAGGTTAGGAGAGGTTATAAAATGTTTACATATAATCCTGACCTTGAGTAGGAAAGAAGATGGGAAATGTGTTTAGCAATACAAACTTTGTTATATCTGGGTGGTGGAAATATGTGTGATCGTTTCCTTTTTGTTTATTTGCAACTTCTTACAAAAATATGTATGCATTGTTTTAGCAAATAGGTTTAAAATAATGGTGGAGAAATAAGCCAGGAGCCTGAGGTTACCCAGGCTGTGAAGAGACGCTCTCTTGGGGAGGGGAGTCATGGCCTGGGACTTTCTGGCTTTCTCTCTGGAAGCTCAGAGAATTCCTGGTTTAAAGTTCTTGTTTTTATTTTGTTCTGTTCTCCTTTGTGTGGTGGGAGGGTCTTCATGATTGAACCTTTATTACTGAGCTACAACCCGAGTCCTCTTTATTTTTTATTTGGAGACAGGGTCTCTCTAAGTTGCTGAGGGTCTTGCTAAGTTACTGAGTCTGGTCTCAAATTTGAATCCTCCTGCCTCAGCCTCCCAAGTACCTGGGATTATATGTGTGCGCCACCACTGCACGTGCCACTGAGCCTGACCCCCTCCTTTTACTGGCCTGAAAAAGGTGAACCTTCCTTCTTTACACAAAGGCTGCAACTCCAGCTCCAGGCAGCTCCCCTCCCACCTGGCCCTAGGCTAACATTTCTCAACCTCTCCTGAGGTGACACCTGCTGAACCCTACATCAGCCCATGGAAGTTGCTTCAAGTGTAAATCTACTACTCTGAAAAAATTAAGTTCCTATTGGGAAAAAAATAGATACATTCACTATTTCTGGTAAAAGTCATAAATATAAATAAATAAACTCATACTTGTAGAAATTTGGAGAACAGGGAAATAAAAACCAAGAAGGGAAGTTTAAATAATTCATGATTTTACCACCAAATATCAGCAGCACCACTATTAATATTTCCTTCCAGGTCTTTTACCTTGGCATTGTCACCAAGTTGAGATCGTGTCACATGTTCACTTTTTATCTGACTTTGTCACTCCAGAATATAACAATATATTTTTAATTTTGAGAAAAGCATCTCTAGTCAGTTTCCTGTCTCTGTAATAAAATACCCTTATAAGTAGAAAATAAATAACTTATAAATAGAAAAGGTTATTTTTGGCTCATGATTTGGGCAATTTCAATCCATAATTGATGGGCCCTGTTGCTTTGTATGTGGCAAGGCAGCCCAGTCATGGGGTGGGAGATATAGCAGATGAAGACCACTCCCTTTCTGACCTGGAAGCAAAAAGAATGAAGAAGGGTCTGGGGTTCCTCAACTCCCTCAGAGGGCACATCCCCAGTGACCTAAGGACTTCCCACTAGGCCACCACCTCCTAATAGCACCTTAAACACATGGACCAAGTTAAAACACATGGGTCCAAGTTAAAATACTTGGGCCTTTGGGGAAAATTCAAAATCCAAACTATAGCATTTGTAAATATATTTTTCATTACTGTATAATATTCCATGGGAAGGCTGTCTATTAATTTACTTCAATGCTGTATAGTTGGACTACTTGGATTAGGAGAAAAATATCCTTTCTATCTCGACTTTCCCCATCACTGGAATATTGAAGCTCATCCTGGTCCCCCAACAAGGAATGGGAGGGACTCTTCCACTTCCCTCCTCACAACTGCCTCTCTCTCTGTCCACACTAGCTACTGGGTCCCAGTCCCAGCTCCTCCCCAGGAAGGCCCACAACAGCTGGGTAGGATGCAGAGGACTGGATCCTCTGGAACCTTCTATAGGGAAGAGCTGACCAATGGGGTGGTCAGGGGCAGGGATTGGGATTGGCAGTAGTGTGAGCCGAGGGGAAGCTGGAGGGGACATAGCAGCAGGTGGCAGGCCTAGTTCCTGGTTGCCTCAGGAATCAGACTTGAGGCATTTGCTTGGTGAACCACATGCCTCCAGGCAACTCATCTTCTAGTTTGGGCCCACAGATTAATTGAGAAACACTTGACTTCAAGAAGTTTCTCCCCATTCTACCTGCTCTGAGGCCTGATGTCCAGGGCTTTCCCAAGGAGCACAGCCTAGAATTTCATTGTGTGATTTCTCAAACCTGCAGGAGCTTTGAGATACATTTCCACACACACCATCCAGATGCCGTCACTAATGCTCCACTCGCCTCACTTTATCCCATACAGGCCCCAAGGTTTGGGACCATGCCCTCTTTTTTTTTTTTTTGGTACTGGGAATTGAACCCAGGATCACTTTACCACTTCGATACGTTTCCAGCTCTTTTTGTTTTTATATATTTTGAGACAAGGTCTTTCTAAGTTGCCCAGGCTGACCTGGAACTTGTAGGCCTCCTGCCTCAGTTTCCCAAGTCACTGAGATTACAGGCATGTGCTGGCTTGCATATTCTCTCTCTCTCTCTCTGCTGTTTACTCCTTGTTTCTAGTTTCCCTTGGCCTTAAAACTAGGTGAAACTGCAAGGATTCATGTGGCAATAGACTCAAAGTTTCAAACTTGCTCTAGTCTGTCCAACTGGTCTTCACAAAATCGCACTGGGACTTAACAACCAGTGTGAAACAGAGCCTGCCTTAGGGCTTTGAAAGGAGGCCAGTTGGCACCAAATGTGCCACCTGCCCTATAGACCTCTGCTCCTTCCAACTCAGGTCCTCCTGGGCACCCTTTCCATCAGCCTGGATACTCTGTTTTAGTGTCTACCATCTCTGGCTGTTCACAAGAGGACAGAACTTTGAGGACACCAGGGGACAGACAAAATTAGTGTCACCTCATATTCTTCAGTATACAAGGCCCTGCAAGGTCCAGACTCTCACACTAGCTTTCTGCCATAAACTGGGCTCCTGAATGACCTAACAGTCCCTAATTCACACAGCACACAGCTCTCTCACTGGGGGGAGGGGGTGGAGGCAGCAAGTGCTGGGTGAGGCCAGGTGACATGGTCATCAAGGTGGGAGGAGGAAGGTGAGGAATGGCTCCCTTTATCCTTGAAGGCCAACATTATGGACCTCCCCTAACAATCCTTTTTTTCTTTTTCTTTTTTTCTGGTACTGGGGATTTAACCCAGAGCACTTTTCCACTGAGCTCCATCACCAGCCCTTTTTATCTTTTATTTTGAGACTGAGGGGGTCACTAAGTTGCTGAGGCTGGCTCTGAACTGGTGATCCTCCTGCCTCAGGCCCCTGAGTTGCTAGGATTTCACCTGGCAGTCCTTTGCCTTTCTTGAGAAAGGGCTGAACCTCTTCCAGAGTTATTTGTACAGTCAGAGAGCTCAGACCAGGCTGTTGAGTTCAAAAGCTTTGTGCAGGGACTTGAAGTTGTTCCAGCTTCTCTCCCACTTTTCAAATAGGCAACTGGTCTTTGTGGAATAAACACACACATACACACACACACACACACACACACACACACACACACCCCTTGTCAGTATGTTTCCTGAAACAATAGAAAGTACTCACTTTGATCTGATGATGGAGAGAGGGTGTCATGCCTCCCTAAAGGCCTTTTTCAGGGGGCTTCCATACCCCCTTGGTCAGTTAATGCTCAGCATCAGATGAACCAGGCTGCCTCCCTCTCCTTCCTCACTGCTGAGCAGAGGAAATCCCACTGTGGATACGAGTTGGTACCACCCAGGGCTCAGCCCTGCGTCTCTGCTCACTCTCCCAGCAGCCTTCTGCCCCCATCTCTGCCTTGGCTTTGGTCCCTTGGCTGCCCTCTCCTTCTTGTCCTCCTGTCCCCCTATACTTCACCTGCCTCCTGACTCAGAGACAGAGGCACGCTGCTCATACCCCAGTATTTGGAGTCCCAGCCACCCAGTTCCCCATGACACCCAGATCTTGCTTCCTCCGCCATGCTCTCTTCCATCTGGTTGGCAGTCTCCTCCCCTCCACCAGCTTTTCCTAATCATGGGCTAATGTCACCAAGTTCCCATGTCAGCAAACAAACAAGTACTTTCCTAGGTCTAGAGCCAGAGCCCCAGGGGCTGCTGGGAAGCAGCCCTCACACCACTTCACCATGTTGGTGAGATTTCCCTAATTCCTGTAGGGCAAATTCTCAGAGGTGACTTTGAGGTTGAGTAGGCACGCTGGAATGATGATGGTTTCCTAACTCGCCCTCGTGTCTCTCAACACTTCCCACACTGGCTATGGAAGCAGAAAATCAATAGCTTGGTATTATTTTAATTTGGAAAGTAAGAGTTAAAATTTAGCCTTTCAGTTACATGTCCAGTATTGTAAATTTCTCTTTCTTCTCTGCAATTTGCCCTCTGTCTCTTTTCTATAGATGTGTTCATTTTCTTTGAATTTTAAGATTTCATTGTTTTTTTTAATTTTTTTTAAAGAGAGAGAATTTTTTTAATATTTATTTTTTAGTTTTCGGCAGACACAACATCTTTGTTTGTATGTGGTGCTGAGGATGGAACCTGGGCCACACGCATGCCAGAGGAGCGCACTACCACTTGAGCCACATCCCCAGCCCAAGATTTCATTGTTGATGCTGCAAGAAATTTATCCTATGGGGCTGGAGATGTGGCTCAAGCGGTAGCGCGCTGGCCTGGTATGCGTGTGGCCCGGGTTCCATCCTCAGCACCACATACAAAGAAAGATGTTGTGTCCGCCGAGAACTATAAAATAAATATTAAAATTCTCTCTCTCTTTTTCTCTCTCTCTCCCTCTCTCACTCTTTCTTTAAAAAAAAAAAAAGAAATTTATCCTAGTTTGTCTTTGGAGTGAAGTTATTTTATTGCTTGTTTAGCCAAACAGAAGTTGTAAATGTGAACTGTCTGTCATCTCCCTTAGGTTTGGTGGAGGTTGGTGGTCTAGAGCATCAGAATCCCAGGGCAAGCTCTGGGCTGTTGGGAGGAGAGGGGAGGTGTGAGGATGGAGTCCTGACTCTGGTGCCCTCTAGCGGTGTGACCAGGGCAAATCTTGTTTACCTTTGATGAAAACAGTGTCCTGTGTCTCAGTATATTTCCAGTACTCAGTAAAGATTAGCCACTATTTATTGCTAGATCCATAGAGAAATCCCTTCCACACACCATCATTATATTTTAAAAATCACCCATGTTCACATTAATGGTTTTTATTTTGGTCTTCCTTATTATTTACTTATTTATTTGGTACTGGAAATTAAATCCAGGGATGCTTTACCACTGATCTATATCCCCAGTCCTTTTTATTTTTCATTTTGGAGATGAGTTCTCCCTAAGTTGCTGAAGGTCTCACTAAGTTACTGAGCCTAGCCTTGAACTTATGATCCTCCTGCCTCAGGCTCCTGAGTCTCCAGGATTACAAGCATGTGCCACTGTCCAACTGGCCCTGCTGATCCGCCTTTTAAAACTTGTTCTAAAGTGGGGTGAGGCAGTGCATGCCTTGAATCTCTTCAACTTAGAAGCCTGAGACAGGAAGTTCACGAGTTCAATGCCAGCCTCTGAACCTTGGCAAGACTCTGTCTCAAAATTTAAAAGGGCTGAGGATATAGCTCAGTGGTAAATACTTGCCTTAGCATGCATGAGGACTTGGGTTTAACCCCCAGCACTGGAAAAACAAACAAAATCCTGGTTCCAGTTCCATTTGTTCATGTCTCCTGCATGTCACTCATCAATGCTTTGTTTTTCTGATTTCTTCAAACCAGCAAATTCAGTTCCACCTATTTATTATCTGCAGCATATGTATTATTATAATTAACTTTTATTGAGCATTTACTCTATGCCAGGTCCCAGGCTAAGTGCTTTATGGGTATAACTTATTCATCATCATTGATGTCGTCATCATTATCCCCACTTACAGAGAGAAAGCTGAGGCTTTTAGAGGTCAACTCACCTGTTCAAGGCCACCAGCTTGTAAGGAAAGGAATGGGGTTTGAATCCAAGCCATTTGAGTCCAAAACCTGAGTTTCTATTTGGCCCATTTTCTCCCACACATGGGCAAAGATGCTTCAGTACCAGTATGTGCATTGTAGCTCTGATGGTCCTAGTAGAAGAGTGACTGTCCTATGTGTCACAAATAGAGAAAAGAAATAAGGCAGATCTGTGATCTGCCACCCAGAAATGACTTCTGGGATAAGATCTGAAGTGTAAAAAGCAGGTGCATAACCTTGGGTTACACACTTCCACTTACGTTTTTTTATTTTACTTCTTTTCTGGTACTGAGGATTGAGGCCAGGGGTGCTCTACCACTGAGTCACATCCCCAGCCTTTTTATTTTGAGACAGGGTCTTGCCAGTTGCTTAAAGCCTTGCTAAGTTTCTGAGGCTGGCCTTGAACTTACAATCTTCTGACCTCAGCCTCCAAACTTGCTGGGATTACAGTTGTGTGCCACCACATATGGATGATTTTTATTTCTTTAAAAGAAGCAATGTGGAGCTGGGGATGTGGCTCAAGTGATAGTGTGCTTGCCTAGCGTGTGTGAGGCACTGGGTTCGATTCTCAACACCACATAAAAATAAAATAAAGACATTGTGTCCACCTAAAACTAAAAAAAAAAAAAATTAAAAAAAGAGGAAGCAATGTACAAAGAAGACGTAATTATGGATTACTTTTTAAAGTTAGAACTAGCTTATCTCCATGTAGATGTTTCCCATGTGGAACCTAAAACAACTCCAAAGACACAGTCATTGTCTTTCCTCTCAAAAGTATCCCTCTTCCTATTTGCCTAACTTCATCCCAGCACCCGGGACAGAAACCTGGCCAGAGTCTGTCACCCGCCACAGGTGTACATATAGCCCCTGCACTGGGTGAAAAGGTCCACCCCTCACACACAATGAGGAGTTTGTGCTGTGGTGACCATGCGTTGATTTGATTTTTAAACTTTTATTCTTTAAAAAAACTAAACCCAATGTCTTCAGATTAGTGAGCCATACAGTGTTTGTCCTTTGTGACTCACTCAGTATAATGTCCTACAGGTTCATTAAAATATGTAGCATGTGTCGGAATTTCCTTTCCTTTTAAGATTGAATAATACTCCATTGTGCATGTCGACCCTGTTTCATTTTCAAGTGGACTTTCTGGTTAGTGTGTTTGTGTTTTGGTACAGGGATTGAACCTAGGGGTGCCTAACCACAGAGCACATCCCCAGTCTTTTTTATTTTTTATTTTGAGAGAGGATCTCACCAAGTTGCTTAGACACTTGCTAAGTTGCTGAGGCTGGCTTTGAACTTGCAGCCCTTCTACCTCAGCTGCAGGAGCCACTGGGATTACAGGTGTGTACCACCTCCCCTGGCCACAAATGGCCTAGAGCACCAGACCTGTCATTGGTCTCCTGGGTAAAGGCTTTCTGGTTCCTGGGGCCACTGTAATGAAGCAGTGTACCAGCCCCCAGGGCCTCTCTGTTGAGCCCAGTGTGACCAGGCCCTGCCCTGGGGCTGGGAAGCTGGGAGCCTTGGGAGGCCTCTCATCTCTGGTTGTGTGGTCCTCAGCTTCCAGACACTGAAGAAGAACCAGATGAAAGGACATGATCACTGGGCCCGACTTCGGAAGTACTCCTTGATTCTCCAGAAAGAGAACCCCAAGAAATTCACTCCAGGGACTCTCTGAAGAGGCTTCAAATAGGCAGGGTCTCTCCAGCATGCCCTGAAATAAAAGGACACAGTGACAAAAAGACACAACTCGAGGGTTCTGGACTTGGGGTCTGGGACCTCTCCAGAGCTGGCCAGGGGAAAGGTATATTCTGGAACCTTTGAACACTAAGCCCCTTGTCAGTGCCCTCCAGTGGGCAGATGTGTCACCCAAATAAACAGTGATAGTGTTTCCAGCCTCTAAGTTGCTGTAGTGTGTGTCCCATCATTTCTACCCCGACTAGACTCCAGCAGGGCCCAGCTGGTGGCCCTCCCTGGCCTGGAGAGCCAATTTTCTCAAATGATCAAAACGCCAAGCAGCTACTATGTGGCCCTTTCCACCCCTTCTCTGTCCTGTGGACTCCTAACCTTTTCAGAACCTTTGAAGGGCTGAGTTCTGGCCCTGTGGTAAGGAAATGTCTACCTCTCTGAGGACACCATGTGATTCCTTAGAGCACTGCAGAGGTTGTTTCAGCCGGCCCTAGAGGCTCACCCAGCCTCGCTGTGGTTGATAAACTGCCCTGGAAGTTGGCTGCCTGCAGGGTTTGTGACAACCTCTTCCTTTGTGCTCCCATTCGCTCCTCCCCTGGATCACGCTTCATGCCCCTCACTGGCACAACATCTCTTATGGCGCCAACATTGATTGGTTTAATGTCCCCTGTGTGAAGGGGTCCCCACCTGGGACAATCTGCCCTCTCTCGCCTTCCCACTAAGGGAATGAAAACACAAAGGCAGAAGCAGCTCTTTCCAATAATTCTTTCCTCCTCACATCAGGTGCTGCGGAAGCTCTTTAGAATGAAGGAGCAGAATTTAAGAGGATGTTCTTGGCCTTACCCAGCACCCAAAGGTGATGAGGAACTGACACTTACTTGGTGTGTGTGAGTTTACACATAAACCTTAAGTAACCTTGAAAAATGTGGATATTACCATAATCCCCATTTTACAGAGAGGGAAATGGAGACTCAGGTTGCATGACTGGGATCAGCCTGAAACAAGTCCTGATGGATTTTTTCCAACAGGAAGTCCAGAAACTCAACTCAAATCACCTTCAACAAAAAGGAGTTTGTTGGCTAAAATAACTTAAATGTTAAGAGTAATTTTTTTGGATTCAGGTGTTTTGTTTTTATTATTTTTTTTTCAGTGTTGGGTGATAGGGAACACACAGACATGAGAGGTGAGAACAGGAGGTTAAGGGGATAATCCTATAAACTGGATTTATCGTGCTGATCCCCACATGTTTTCACTTTTTTTAATGTTTATTTTTTAGATGTAGTTGGAGACAATACCTTTGTTTTATTTATTTTTATGTGGTGCTGAGGATCGAGTCCAGGGATTCGCACATGCCAGGCAAACGCTCTACCTCTGAGCCACAACCCCAGCACCCCCCACATGCTTTCATTTTTAAAAAGCGATTTACCTGCAGCCCTGCCTGGGTTAATTTAACAGGATCTGTTATATTCCTTAACAAACTACCTGTTATCTACAAGAGAATCACAGGTCTGAAAGCAGACAAGGAGAACACAGGTTACTTTGAAAGTGGAGATTTTTGTGACCCTCACACAAACCAGATCCCACAACTCAGGGAGATAAGGATAATTTCTCCCTAACCATAAAATCTGTAGGAACAGGTTCCAATTGGAACCAGTCAGCATGGGCCAAAGTGACCTAGAGTTGCCCCGACAGTGGGGACTTGAAAGTCTGAGGTCCATCCTGCTGTCAGTCAAAAGTCAAGAGGTGGGCATGACTCTCTGGAAACTTCCCTGGGGTTCCCAATGAAACTAGGGGCAGGAGAGGCATGCCATCTTTCTCTTCTCTGACAGGGCCACCCCGCTTTCTTGAGTGTCCCCTTTTCCCTTTTCTTATCCCTTCTAGTAAACTCATGCTTGCCACTCTGAGGAATGTGTCAGAAATCTTTCTGGTGTGATCACAAAAACCAGTGAGAAAGGACTGCTGGCAGCCTCAACTACCCCGCAGACCCTGACCCTTGCCTTCCAACACTGTGGATGGACCCTCGCAGAGTAGGCAGACACTCCACCACTAAGCTACATCTCCAACTCCAAGATCACGAGCTTTTAACTCGAGGTCTATTGAATAAAATGTAAGGGATCAAGACCTTGCATAATAAATTATTACATTTTAATTTTTACTGCCTCTAATCACAATTTAGCATTTCCTCCAATTCTGAACACAGACAACAGACCACACTGAAAACTTCCCTGGGACTCCCAGTGAAACAAGAGGGCAGGAGAGTCATGCCCTCTTTCTACTCTCTGACCTGAGACATTTGTCAGCACTCTCCATATCCTGGATCTGGGCATTAAGAATCTCCCTCTTTCTCTTGGCTCTAATCCCCTTGCAAGCTGGGCCTTCTGCCTGGGTGAGCACCCATGGCACCCATAGTGCATGTTCCTTTCTCCATGGTTCCAGCAAAGTCCTGAGCCTGCTCCCCACTGTGGTCACATTCCTGAACCATGACCTATGTTCATCCCTGGAGAGTGAGGTTCCCCACCCCCACCCCAATTAAGGACTGACATAGGGGACAGCTGTCTGATAAAAGGGAAATGACAGAGTGTGAGGGAAGAAGGCCAGAGGGATACTGAGCAAAGATGGCAGAGGTGCCCTGCCCCAGCAGAGTCAGACTGGGGGAATTCAGCTCTACCCTCTCTGGGGTCACCTGCTGTGACACCAAGCCACCTCTTCTTTCCCTAGTGTGTGTGGGAGAGAAGAAGAAGGGAGAACTGAGGCATTCACAAGAAACCTTATGTACCAGATCCCACAGAGGGATGAGGGAGAAAGAACCAGGGTCTGACCAAGCCTACTCTCTGCTGGGGATCCCCAACTGGGAGACTGGGCTGCTGGGGCTCTAGCCATTCTCAGGGCAGAGCACCATCAGATTAAGTAGGCCATGCCGGTGATCCCAAAGGACAGCCTAGCCTCCTGGGTGATAAATCCCCTCAGAAATGTCAAAAACCTATGCCGGGTATGGTGGTGCACACCTGTAATCCCAGCGGCTCAGGAGGCTGAGGCAGGAGGATCGAAAATTCAAGGACAGCCTCAGCAACTTAGCTAGGCACTAAGTAACTCAGTGAGACCCTGTCTCTAGATAAAATATGAAAAAAGGGCTGGGGATGTGGCTCAGTGGTTAAGTGCCCCTGAGTTTACTCCTCAGTACCAAACAAAACACAACAAAACAAACCCAAACAACTCAGGGGAGCCAGGCTAGCGTGAGACAAGTGCCCAGGAGCAAAATTTAAGGAGACACTCACTCTTGGCACTATGCAAATGCAGGGTCAGAATCTGAGAAGGGTGGACAAAGTGGTCTCTGGCCTGGCCCTGGGACTTTGCAGTTACATTGGGCTACCTTCCTTCTGCAGCCCTGTGCCTCTCTAGTTCTCCAGGTGAGAGCATTTCAGAATTCCAGCCCATTCCAGAGCCCCCTAGCATGGACTTCATGTGACCAGAGATCCAAGGTCTGTTCCAAGGGCAACAGGATGTGAGCTTGGCCACCTTCTGGGTGTACCATCCACCTGTCCTGAGGCACATAGTTGCCTTCCGGGCCATTCCAAAGACTAGGTTGGTCCCCCACCCCAATGGCCAAATACTAACTTTGTGTACTTCTGTTTCCTGATCTGCACGACTGGGATAAGCACACATTACCATCTTCACCGGAGGTTCAGTAGCTGAAGTGACTTGAAATCGGGGCTGGATTACATGCACAGCCTGGCTCCCACAGTTGCTCTGTATGTTTTTCTGCTGTTTCTGATTGTGTAAGCAGTTCTCTCTGGAGGAAGGAGGTGGCGTCAGTCAGCAGTGAGAAGAGAGCCACTGGCCCCTGCCAGGCACCCTCATGGCCATGCTCTCATTTGCCTGCCTGCCTCCCAATGGGCCTACACCCAAACAGTTCCAGATTGGGGCCCGATGCCAGGGATTCCGATGAGTTGGGATGCCACTCACTGATAGGAGACAGGCAGACATGAGTGGTGGGAACATGAGGTGAAGGGGATAATTCTATAAAATAGGCCCACTGTGCTGACCCTCCACATGCTTTCCCACTTTTTTTTTTAATATTTAATTTTTAGTTGTAGTTGGATACAATACCTTTATTTCACTTATTCATTTCTATGTGGTGCTGAGGATCAAACCCAGCACGTGTGAGGCAAGTGCTCTACCGCTGAGCCACAACCCCAGCCCATGCTTTCACCTTTAAAAAGTAATTTATCTGCAGCCCTACTGGTTTACGTTTATTGAATTTATTAAGTTCCTCAGGAAAGTACCTATTATCTGAAGGAGAAATGCAGGCCCTGGAATCATGCTGATAAGAGGAACACAAGTTACCCTGAAGTGGGTGACTTTTGTGACCCTTACACAGACCAGATCCCACAACTCAAGGAGATAAGGATAATTCCTCCCAACCATAATATCTGTAGGAACAAGTTCCAATTAGAACCAGTCAGCATAGGCCAAAGTGACTTCAAGTTGTCATGGCAGTAGGGATTTGAAAGTCTGAGGTCATCCTGCTGTCAGTCAAAAATCAAGAGGTGGACCTGGGCAGGACTCTCTGGAAACTTCCCTGGGATCCCCATAAAACTAGAGAGGACCCATTCTCTCCAGAGTGTCCCCTTTCTTCTTTTCCATCTCTTCCAATAAACTTATGCCTATAACTCTGAAGGACGTGTCTGAAATTTTTCTGAACTGTTTGCAAGAACCTAAGGTGAAGGAGGAGCCTTGTGCTGCCTCAGTTTCCCGGGAATACCCCTCATGGTAAACCACTACCTAGAGACAAGTTGGCACTCAGCAGAGGCAGTGCATGCAGGGGTTGAGCACACAGGGGCGGTGTAGTCACACCTGGGTCCCAATCCCAGGGATGCTACTTGGTATCTATAGGGGCCAGGTAGGTCTTTCTTAAGTTGCTCAGCCTTAAAATGGCCCTGGAACTGGGGTATCTCACCTTCCTGGGTGCGGGCCACTCTTGTCCTCACTTAACAGGTTTCCTCCAGGTGCAGATAGGGCTGGGCCAGGAAGGGGGGAATGAGGCCACCAGAGCAGTGGGAAGTGACCCCTTCTTATCTCCAATCCTCCGTCTAGGCCACTATTAACAGGGATGTGTTAATGAAAATTAGCACCCAGGCGCTAATAAACAGTGGGCTGCTCCCAGGCTCAGAGTCAGGCGAGAGGCCCTCTGCAGGGAAGGGGGCTGGCCAATGAGCTCCACTTATCTGTGAAAAGACTTGCTAATAACTTTAATTCCCTATCCTAAACCGCTGGGCCTTTGCCATGCAAATAGATTTTCTAAACTGGGTGGACTCCTGGGGAAAGGAAGATTTCCCACTCTACCCTAGTTAGGGTGCTGGGAGAGGAGTACAGGATAGGGGGGTGGAGATGTAGGAAAGGGGGTGACCAGTAGAGGTGTGAGGTCCCCCTACCTCCGTAGGGTTCAGCTTTGGATCCCACTCTCTACAGCCAAAGTAAGCCCCACCTAGGCCGGGACCCCTGAACTACAGAGCAGATGCATTTCTGGCCCTCCTGGCCTAGTCTGGAGAGCTAGGAATGGTTTCTGAGCTGGTTTAAAAGCAAACCCAACAATGATTGAATGCACAATGGATATTACATGCTGTACAATGGATATTATTAGGCAATCAACAGTGCTTTGTTTTGTTTTTTGTTTGTTTGTTTGTTTTTTAGTATTGTTTTGTTTTGTTTTGGGGCAACTGGGGATCAAACCCAGGGCATCAGCTAGGAATGAAGTTCTGGTACAGTGACAACATGGATAAACCATGCTCAAAAATAAGCCTGACACAAAAGGCAGCATTCTATAACCTTTTTCATATGAAATGTTCAGAATAGGCAAATCCACACAGAAAGGGGATGACTGGTGGTGGCCGGGAGGGGGTGGTGGTGGTGTAGATTGATAATGAATGGGGAATGGGGCTAATGGGTAGTTTCTTTTTGGAAGTGATGAAAATATTCTAAAATTAGTGGTGATAGTTGCACAGCTCTATGGATATACCATAACTATAATCTTGTACTTTAATGGTGAATTTTGTGGATGTGAATTATATCTCAATAATGTGCCCATAAAGAAACATTAAGGTTTGCATTTCAGACTCTTGAAGGGGAGGAGGGGAGACTGGGTGTTCATAGTGGCAAAGGCTACATTGCATTGAAACCCCCCAAGCTTGATTGCTCTCTGGACCCACCCACAGGGTCTCCTCTCCCCCACAGTGCTTCCCTAATCTGAATCCCACTGAGTCTGGTGGCTGATCAGCAACCCTGTGGGCCTCTCCTCTCATCCTAGCTAGGCTTCCAGGAACCATGGTTATATAAATTTGGGGTTGGCCCATTGATTTTGCTTCCCCAAGCCACATGAAAGGGAAAAGGGAAAATCCTAGATCCCACACCAGGAAGCTCCAGCACAAAGACTCAGGCACAATGAAATAACTCCTCAGAGCAGCAATGAATGGAGCTGGCAAAATCCGACCAGGGTGACAGCTCCAACTCCCAAGTCCTATCTCGGTTGGAGTATTGATTCTTCTACAAAATTACAGTTGAGGCATATGTGTGTAAAGTAACTGGTGCATCATACATAAGACTGGAGTTGTATTTTTCCAGAGGCATTTTGGTTTTATCTAGTTCCCAACTTCCTTCCACTTTCTTGTAGGAAGCTCCCCACTCCACCCCTTCCAGGCTGATCCATGCAGAGTAGATGTGCGCCAGCGTGGCCACAAGGAGGAAGGGGTCTGGGCCTGTGTATTTGAGGGGCAGAAGATAACAAGAAAACTTCACAACTCTCCCCTATCATTCTTTGGAGGGCAGGGAGGGAGTCTTGTGTCCACCCATAAGAAGAACTGCCAAATGACACCAACACAGTTTATTCACAAATAAATAAATACATGCTAGGCAGAGCTCCTGCTTGCTTTAGATCATCTACCCTATGAGTCCTTCCTTCGAGGGAGGGGTTGGGAAGGCTCATCCTAGATGAAGACAGGCTCTCACCCCAAGAATGCCATGCCAGATTTGCTGGTCCCTCTTCCAGGAGAGACAGTCCTCTTTAAAGGTCCTGAGGCCAAAAAAAGACTGGGTGCTCAGAAGGCCTTGTCATCGTACTCCTCAGGCTCAGGCCGGCGGCCACTCCAGGATTGAGAGGGGCATCCAGTTCTCCAGCAGGGTCAGCACTTCGCTGGGAAAGAGCTGCAGGGAGAGAGAGAGAACAATGTAGCCCTCATTACCTGCCGTGGGACACAGCGTCCACGCTCAGGGGTCCACTGTCAGAGAACTTCTGGCGAGGAACAGATCCCTGTCCCCTGCCTGGCCTCTCCCTCCCCTTGCCGCCTGGACACGCAGGACACGCGATGTTGCTCTTGAGAACGAGCAGATGGGGCCTGGCTGTCTCGAGGGTGCGACAGGGTGGCTGGTCCCTGTGGTGGCGTGAGCAGGTGGCACGGACAGTCGGGTCGGGTGGGGTTCGCGAGAAAAGTGATACTAACCGGAGAAGATGGGTTCGGCTCCACTGTCTGCCCTGGCCGGCTGGTCGCCTCGACGCACATAACTGGCGGGGAGCGCGGTTCCGGAGCGGCCCCGGGTGCTGGGCACGCAGGCGGGGACCCCCAGCACGGTCCCTTGCTGGAGGCAGGGTCCGGGTGAGGTCCAGGATCCCGCGTCTGCGCCTGCATGGAGCTGCCGTCCGGACAGAGCACACAGCCCCGAGGAGACGCCGCGCCCACGCACCGCTGGAGCCGGCACTGCAAGCTGTCCTCGCTGAGGCCCAGGATGGCAGACAGGTGGTCGATGTAGCGAATAGCCAGGCGCAGGGTCTCGATCTTGGTCAGGGTCTGACCCGCCGGCGCCATGGACGGCGGCAGAAAGCGGCGCAGCTCGTGCAGGGCGCGGGCGAGGGTGCGCATGCGCAGCTTCTCGCGCTCGCTGGCGCTCCGCCGCTGCCAGCTGCCCAGGCGCCTACCGGCCGTCGGGGCGCGCGGGGCCGAGCGGACGCACGGGCGGGCTGGGCTTGGCACGGGACTGCCCGCCGGGGCGCTGCCCCACGAGTCCGGGGACGAGGCAGGGGAACAGCCGCTGCCCCTGTCAGAAGGCGGCAGCGGCCGGGCAGGGGCGCAGTCTGTGGACCGTAACCAGGTTTCGGAGAGCGAGAGGGACGGGCACAGGGAATGGGCCATGACGGCGGAGGCGCGTCTGAGGCTGGCGGCAGCTTTATCCCAAGCCTGAGGTGTGAAGCGGCCCCTTCCAGCGCATCTGCACATCAAAGCTGGCTTGGGGTCTGGAGGGGGCGGGGCCGGCTCTTTGAACCAGCAGAGAGTGGGGCCAAGGTGCTTGCCCCTTAACTGTGCCTCGTTCACCCCACCTGGGCTCTGACTTGGGCCTCCTGCCTGTGACATGCCCCGTGGCTGGTGGAGGCGTTGAATAGGCTTGATGCCCACTCCCTGGGCATCTCCGCAGACACCATCCCCTCCCCTTGTCTCTCTATGCCTGCTGCCCTTGTTGTCTTCTATAACCCTTCTCTGTGGATTAAAGGAAAGGAGATGGGGAAGAATCAGAGAACTGAAAGTCCAGTTCCTAGGTTTGAGGCCCACCTTCATCTATTGGGGACCTTGTGCAAATTCTTAATTTTCTTGCATTTTTGATTCCAGTTTGTATAATGGGATCCCTCAGGATGCACCAGCGGACTGTGGAATAAAGTAGGGACCAAGAGAAGTGGGGCCCTGATTTCCTCCGGAGGTGGGGATAACTGTACTCTCTTCCTCCTCAGAGACAGGCTGGACCTGGGTGACTGTCCCTTGGTGGTGGCTGTCCCTAGGTGGCTGTCCCTTCACAGGGGCACTTTGAAGAAACAACTGCAAGCAAACCCAGCAAGCTGGCAGAATCAGGGGAGGTGGCAGGACCATTTGAGTAGAGAAGGGGTGAGCCTGCTGCCCCTTCCCCCAGGACACCCCAGCCTGGCAGGATCAGGAGCTTGGCCATTGCCACAGCGCCACCGCTGTCCTATTGCTGATGTTCTGACACTTTGGAGGAGGTATGATAGGTGTGCCAATGAAACACGAATGGAAATGGTGCAGAAAAAGCATTTGACAAAATTCACTACACCTTTGTAATAAAACATTCCAGCAAACTAGGGATGGAGAGGAACTTCCGCAGCCTGATAAAAGGCATCTACAAGGGGCTAGAGCTGTGGCTTCTCAGCAGTGCACTTGCCTGGCATGTGTGAGGCACTGGGTTTGAGTCTCAGTACCACATATAAATAAATAAAGGTCTGTCAACAACAAAAAAAAAAAAACATGTTTTAAAAAAAGGCATCTACAAAGAACCTACACATAGCACTGTACTAAATAGTGAAAGATTGAAGCTTTCTCCCTAATATGGGGAACAGTGTCTGCTCTTACAACACCACTTCAACATTGTTTTGGTGGAATGGAGAGTCTAGAAGGAAAGAAAAATAAATTTAGATTGGAGAGGAAAAAATAAAACGTCCGTATTTACATATAGTAAGAATGATTGTCCACATAAAATTCTCCAAGGATCTACCTTGCCCATCTGTCCCCATGGGTTGAGTTTGCACACTTGTCCTACAGTACTTCATGCATGGCTATCTACTCTCCACCTAGTACCTGGTGTCTGACAATATGTCTTTGCCTGTTCCTTTAAGAGGAATGGTATCTAGGGTCTGATGCTTTGGATCCTCTATGGCTTCCAGTTCCATGAGACAGATGGGCAAACTAGACTGTAGCAATGAAGGTCAAGTGGCTTGATGTCTATTTCCTGGGCATCTCTGTGGACACCATCCCCTCCCCTTGTCTCTCTGTCTCCTGTTACCCTTGGTATCTTCTACATCCCTCCCCGGCAGTCTGTCACAGCAGCCACAGAATACTCAGGCCCACAACCACATGGAGGAGAAATAGTATCAACCTCCTTTGGGGAGGAAGAGGGCAAGAGTCCACTCCCTCTGCACAGTTCTGAGGCCCATCCACTTCCTGGGAGTGCCTGGTCCAGGAGGCCCCTCTTCAGCTTGCAGCTGTCAGCAGGGTCTACCCTTTATGGATCCTGGCAGATGGATGTCTTCCTGGGGCTCTGATCAAAACCTGGCTCTGGAACCCAGAGATTGGGCCTCTTGGATGACACTAGGCAGAGGGAATAGGCAGCTGGGAATTGGCAGTGTGTGGTATGCCGGGGTGGGAAGGGGTGCAGAGAAAAGACCACGTGGGCTTGAGAGGTGAGATCTCCGTAGGCTCTGAGCACCCTGTTATTCAAGGACTGCCAATCTTCTGAATGTACCCCCCTCAATTATTATGGCCAATAATTGAGAAAATTCAGAGTGGCCTAGCACTCATGTTTTATTGTCTTATCTTTGTTTATGTGAGAATATAATAAGTGTACATAGTCATATCACTAGGTACAGAGGGCATAACAAGTCTCTTTACTAGACTGCCTTTGCAGCTTCCAATGGCCTGCCCCAGAGGAAACTGTCTTAACTAGCTTTTTGTCAGCAATGCTTTTACATGAATTTGTATTTTATTAAGCACAAAATCAATTGTACATATTTGGAAAAGAGACCATATGTGTGGGAGGTGCATTTTTTTATGTTGAAAACATAATACTTAAGATTCCTCATCTGAAACCTAATAGTTAACATTAATCCTGGACATGGAGCCATGGAGAGATTTAAAGCAGGAGAGGACACCATGAGTGGAACATGAGAAGACCTCTGGTGTCAAGGCTGAGGAGGATTAAAAAGACAAGGGACAAGGATGAAGGAAACAACCTACCAAGATGGCTGGAGAGGCGGTGGGACAGCAGGTTGGGAAAGGCAGGCAGATGGGAGGGCTCCAGCCCCAACCCCATCCCCGGATCTTCAGCCTTGAGGCTGACAAATTGGAAATGCCACGTGGAGCCCCTCCCTTACCTGTTTCCCCTGGTCTCTGGGAAGCCCCCACAGGGGCCCAGCTGGTGTAGGCTGTGGTCTCCAGGCCTGCTGGAGCCACGTGGGGGGGACAGGGACCCCAACAGTGTAGCCATCAGCCGCCCTCCCTCTTCACTCTTCACTGTCCCCACGCCTGTCCCTCTCCCCTTTGATCTCCTTATCTTGGCCAGCCTCTCCGGTTGGTTCATTTGGGAGCTGCCCCAGTTAATGAGTTCTCCAGGCAGCAAGGCCCACACGCCCTCCCACTGGGATGGGGCCTTCACACTTCTGGAGGCTGTGTTTTGACAAGTGCCGAGCTCCTGCTCCCCTGGACCCAGCCTACCCTTGCCTGCCAACGTGTAAGGCTGGGAAATGAGGCCCCTGGGCAGTGCCACTGGAGAAGAGGTGAGAGTTCAAGCCTTGGGGGGTGGGGCAGGCAGGACAGGTTGGCCCCCTCTTAGCTCAGGTTGCAGCCAGCCTGCTCTTTCACACCCAGCCTAGGTCCTGGACACTGCATCCCAACCTGCGCCCAACCTCCATGCCCTCATTTCCCAGCCAGCCCTTCTGACATTGGAGTGCTAATCAAAGGTGCTATGTAAATACTCCCCTTGCAGACCTAATCCCAGACCCCACTGGAGCCAGAGACCCCAGGAGAAGGAAGCAGCACTACTCCTACTGCCAGCCTGCTTAGCACCAGAGGAAGCCCCTAATTTGGGTGTCCTAAATAGCCAGAGATCTTCCTGTCATCACTCCACACCACTCTTTTCAGAGAAGGTTGTCATTTACCAAGTCTCCACCCATGAGCAGTGGAGGCCAATGTGGGTTAGAGTCCCTATCTTCTGTGCCCTGGGGTGAGGGTCAAATCATACTGAACAGAATATGCATGTACACTCTTGTCCTCTGAGCCTGGCACTCTGCTGGGGCTTGGCCAGGTCACTGCTCACACTCACAACATGCTGTGATGTAGGTGTTGTTGTCTTACTTGGCAGTTAAAGAAATAGATGCTCATGTATGAAGACACGAATGGTGTGACTCTGCTTTGTATACAACCAGAGAAATGAAAAATTGTGCTCCATTTGTGTACTATGAATCAAAATATATTCTGCTGCCAGGTATAACAAATTAGAATGAATGAATAAATAAAAGAGATAGATGCTCAGAGAGTATGTCCCATGTCACATAGTAGAGGGGAAGAGCTGGGGTCCATTTGGCAGAAGCCCATGTCCTCCCCATCTCCTTTGGAGGACATAAGTGGCTCCTTTCATCCTGGAGGGATGCTGTGAGGTTGAAGGGGCCCTGGAACCTTCAAGCCCCCAAGAGCACAGAGGCCCGTGGGATATAAGAAGAAAATTTTCCAGGCTCAGCCTGGACTTGATGATCCAGAACCCCTGGAAGATAAAGCTTAACCATCTGGGTATAAAAAATAAATTCTCAGGCTGGGGATGTGGCTCAAGCGGTAGCGCTCTCGCCTGGCATGTGCGGGGCGCTGGGTTCGATCCTCAGCACCACATAAAAATAAAATAAAATAAAGATGTTGTATCCACCGAAAACTAAAAAATAAATATTAAAAAATTCTCTCTCTTTGAAAAAATAAAAAATAAAATAAAAATAAAATCTCCCCAGAATTATGGAAGAATAGCAGAAATGGCACTAGGGAGTACCCAGCAGCCCCTAACAGATCCTAAGCCCTCGTCATGGATAGATAAAACAGTACCCAGAATGGTCCTAAGGCCCAGCGACAGAGGCCCACCTTCTTCTCTCCTGCCTGTACCTCCTTCCCATTAGCCCTAGCCAAGCCCTCCACCCCAGTGCTCCCAGGGGAGTCCCTTCCAACAAAGATCACCCCCCTCCTCACACCTTTAGCTCTTGGAGCCACTGAGCTGGCAAGCCATATGGAATAGATTATTCTGGATCCATGATAATCTGATTATCTGGCCATGGAGCAGTTGGATGCTCAGCAGTGGATGTGGCAGTCACAGGCATCAGAGGGGTGATAGGAGGGAGGAGGTGGGAAGGGAGGAGAGATTTGGCAGATTCCCTGAAAGGCTCAAGAGGAAGTGCCAGAAGCCCTGTGGGTTTGGGGGCTCTGATAATGCCCAGTAAATAGGTAGCACCTCTCTCAATAGAGCACCACATGTGAGTTTCTACACTTCCTCTAGGTAAGTGGGAGTGATCTGAGCCTTAGAGTGAAAAGTGGAGAAACTGAGGCATAAAGGGATTAAGGACTGAAGTAACCCAAAACAAAGATGCAGACATGTAAAGGTG